GAGCCCAGACTTAAACCAGATCGAACATCTCTTGAGAGACCTGAAAATAGCTGTGCAAACCCTCCCCTAACCCGGACGACTCTGGGCCAATTGTGCTCCGCCCTATGGGACTCCCGATCACGGCAGGTTGTGATACAGCCCGGGTTTGCACCCGGGTCTGTAGTGACGCCTCTAGCACTGTGATGCAGTGCCTTAGACTGCTGCGCCACACGGGAGGCCCTCAGTTTTTTATTTTTAATACATTTGCAAAAAATTATAAAAACCTGTTTTTGCTTTGTCATTATGGGGTTTTGTGTGTCACAGCCGGCCGTGACCAGGAGACCCATGAGGCGGCGCACAATTAGCCCAGTGTTGTCCGGGTTAGGGAGGGTTTGCCCGGGCAGGATGTCCTTGTCCCATCACGCTCTATCAACTCCTTGTGGCGGGCCGGGGCGCCTGCAAGCGGACTTCGGTCACCAGCTGGACGGTGTTTCCTCTGACACACTGTCTAAAAACCTGGCTTCTGGGTTAAGCGAGCAGTGGGTCAAGAAGCAGTGCGGCTTGGCAGGGTCATGTTTCAGAGGACGCATGGCGCTCGACCTTCGCCTCTCCCGAATCCGTAGGGGAGTTGCAGCGATAGGACAAGACTGTAAATAAAAAATAAGACAGGTTGTGTTCATGCCACATTAAAAAGTAATTCATTTTTACCGTTTAAATTATGCCTTTATTAATAGGACCATAAAAAAATGTGTACGCGTGCACTCAATAGACATCTCAAAACATCTGCCCCCACCACTGTGAATGTCACACAGAGCTCTAGCTTGGCTTCCTGAACTAGTTAGGAACTTGCTTTTCATCTCATATCTCATCTTGTCCATATATGACAAACAGAAAGTGTTTTTGTTTAAAACCTATGAATTATTTTAGATTGGCTATAACTCGAACCCACTGTCTTCTGCTGCGCTACTATGTAAAGATTGCAGGCATGTGCTTTGTCAGTGGCTGTGACATAGGGTTCAGCCAGGAGTGGATGGACAGTTGGAAGAGCGAATGAAATGGTAGGAGGGACATCCCAGCTTCAAGTGGTTTCAGATTTCACATCCTACGTCACACAGGTGCAAAAAGTATATTACTGTGTCCGTGGGAACCAGGGCTATCACTCAATGCAAGCCATTTTGATCTACGGTGTCCACAGATCGATTTATAAGCAAAAATGTCGTCCGAAACCGGTACCAGAACCACGCAGGTCCCTTAAACAGGGGACTTTACATCTAAGAATAATAGGCCCAGTGTCCCAGGCTTCTGGAGAGGTTGTGAATTTCTTTCAGACATCAAGGGCTGATGGTTTCCCAGACCAAGGTTATAAACCTGTCATTGTATGTACAGAACAGTAGGCTACTTTGATTCTAAAGAGAGGTTGCATTGCTCTATTTGCTCTGTAGAATTTCCTCATAAAATCCCTGATCAAGCCCACACCCTGCAACTATCCATCACACATCCAAACACTGTTAAACAATGCTAATCAGTACTGGTACTAAACTTTAGTAGAACATAAATAAACACATTGTTTTAAAGAATACCTCCTCCACCTGTATGTGGACAGACAAGCCCCGTGGTTTTGCAACCACTGTGTGATTGAACAAAACACAATACCTCTGAATACCATCTGATAGGGAATAGTAGGGGTTTGCTGGTTCCTTTTGATGGGTTTAAGACAGGGCAACAATGAGAGGAAGTCCCTGCGAGACCCAGCCCTCCCTCTGCCAGTGGAGAGGGAGGGGGAAGGGGTGGAACCCACATGTCACGCCCTGGCTCTGGGGACTATGTTATGTTGAGCCAGGGTGTGTAAGTCTATGTTTTGTATATCTATGTTGGCCTGAGTGACTCCCAATCAGAGGCAACGAGTGTCAGCTGGTTGTCTCTGATTGGGAGCCATATTTAACTATCGGTCTTTTCACTTTGTGTTGTGGTTTCTTGTTCCTTTTGGTTTGTGTGTATCGAAGGACTTCACGTTTCGTTAGTTGTTTTGATCGGGTGATCCGTTTAATAAATAATATGTACGCATTCAACGCTGCGCATTGGTCCTCCTCCTTAAGCGAACGTGACAGAAGAAACCACCTTAACCAGACCAAGCAGCGTGTTCAGGAGCCATCGCTGGCAGATCTCCGTGGCAACCTCGACTGGATCAAGCAGCGGGACGAGGAGAGAGGATGGACGTGGGAGGAGATGATTGCGAGTCTGGCAAGAGGGAGGAGAGACCCCCAGGAAATTTTTAGGGGGGGGCTCACGACGTCGGGCCAGCAGGTGTACGGGTTAGAGCGGTGCAAGGCGTTGGCAGAGAAGGCCGCCAGGTTAGGGGGGCCACTGGGCACAGAGGAGAGGGAAAGTGTGGAGGCACGGCGAGAGGTACTGGGGTGTGTTACCAGTCCGGTCCGGCCCGTTCCTGATCCCTGCGTGGGGCCAGTGGTGTGTGTCCCCAGTACGGTCCGGCCTGTTCCTGCCATTCCCACCAAGTCAGTGGTGCGCGTCGTCAGCCCAGCCCGGCCTGTTCCTGCCATTCCCACCAAGTCAGTGGTGCGCGTCGTCAGCCCGGCCCGGCCTGTTCCTGCCATTCCCACCAAGTCAGTGGTGTGCGTCGACAGCCCAGCCCGGCCTGTTCCTGCTCCACGCACAAAGCCTACGGTGTGCGTCGACAGCCCAGCCCGGCCCGTTCCTGCTCTCCGCACCAAGTCTGTGGTGCGCGTCGCCAGCCCAGTCCGGCCCATCCAAGCTTCCCGCACCAAGCCAGTGGTGTGCGTCGTCAGTCCGGCACGGCCCGTTCCTGCTCTCCGCACCAAGTCTGTGGTGCGCGTCGCCAGCCCAGTCCGGCCCATCCAAGCTTCCCGCACCAAGCCAGTGGTGTGCGTCGTCAGCCCTGTCCGGCCCGTTCCTGCTCTCCGCACCAAGTCTGTGGTGCGCGTCGCCAGCCCAGTCCGGCCCATCCAAGCTTCCCGCACCAAGCCAGTGGTGTGCGTCGTCAGCCCTGTCCGGCCCGTTCCTGCTCTCCGCACCAAGTCTGTGGTGCGCGTCGCCAGCCCAGTCCGGCCCATCCAAGCTTCCCGCACCAAGCCAGTGGTGTGCGTCGTCAGTCCGGCACGGCCCGTTCCTGCTCTCCGCACCAAGTCTGTGGTGCGCGTCGCCAGCCCAGTCCGGCCCATCCAAGCTTCCCGCACCAAGCCAGTGGTGTGCGTCGTCAGCCCTGTCCGGCCCGTTCCTGCTCTCCGCACCAAGTCTGTGGTGCGCGTCGCCAGCCCGGTCCGGCCCGTCCAAGCTCCCCGCACCGGGTCAGTGGTGTGCGTCGTCAGCCCGGTCCGGCTCATTCCTGCTCCCCGCACCAAGTCAGGGGTGCGCTTCGTCAGCCCGGTCCGGCCCGTTCCTCCTCCACGCATCAAGCCAGGGGTGTGCGTCGTCAGTCCAGCACAACCCGTGCCTGGGTCATGTCCGGAGCCGGATCCGCCGCCGAGGCGGAGTGCCCACCCGGTCCCTCCCCTGTTGTGGTTTTGGCGCGGCCGGAGTCCGCCGCCTTTGGGGGGGGGGTTACTGTCACGCCCTGGCTCTGGGGACTATGTTATGTTGAGCCAGGGTGTGTAAGTCTATGTTTTGTATATCTATGTTGCCTGAGTGACTCCCAATCAGAGGCAACGAGTGTCAGCTGGTTGTCTCTGATTGGGAGCCATATTTAACTATCGGTCTTTTCACTTGTGTTGTGGTTTCTTGTTCCTTTGGTTTGTGTGTATCGAAGGACTTCACGTTTCGTTCGTTTGTTTTTGATCGGGTGATCCGTTTAATAAATAATATGTACGCATTCAACGCTGCGCATTGGTCCTCCTCCTTAAGCGAACGTGACACCACAAGACCAGGATGGACCAGGAGGTTCCCTGCTATACTAAAGGCTGCATTCCAATAGAAAACTTGCTCCCTTTCCTCTGACCACCTTTGCGGATCTGAATGGATTGGATAGTCAAAGCAATATACTGATAGCTCCACCACCTAGCCTTCTAGGAGGGATAGGCAGGGTCATAGTATTTCCTTCACCTATCCAGTCCTCTTAGATCGGAGGGAGAAAATCACAAAGGGCAGAGTGAAAAAAACAAGGGAGGGACTGAGTGTTGTGTTGAGCTGTGGCCCTGGTTCTCTATCTTATCAGAGCCTAGTGTTTTTACTGGACCTCTATGACCGACGCAGGCCTGGCCTGGAACGGCCCATGCAGACACCACTGACCTGGCAGACACTGTGGAAAGTGAGGTTACAGTACTTACAATGGGGCTGGAAAACCAGAGCACGTATGCTCAGATATATATAACAAAAAAATGCAAGAGTTGTTTTGCAGCAAATAGAAATACTATTTATGTTATAACTTTTTTGTCTATTAGTTTTAATCAACACCATTCGGGGGTTTCGGGGGTTTCGACTCCAGCTTCAACGTTCAGACCCAAGGTTGTAATTGGTAGTGTTGCTCTTGAAGAAATTGTCACCTGTGGTTGCTGTGGTGGACTGGAGAAAATGAGAAAAACTACAATGTTTATCATTTCGGGAAAAAACGTAATCTGAGGTGGTAGCTGACTGTCCCATTACAAAAGCGGGGACAGGGAGATTGAGGGGGGGCTGGTTTGGGTCTTGGAGGGGTGAATTTGTTTATTCTCATTCATCAAACGTAAGGAAATGATGGGACAGGAAGTGATTACGGCAGCCCCCCTCCCGCCCCTCCAGGAGGAACTCTGTCCTGGACAGATAAGAGAGACCCGTTGCTAATTTTACGCAGAAAAGCAGGAAATGTGACAGTGAAGTTTTCCGCTTCCACAAACAAGAGAGCCGCCAGCCCGGCTTTGGAGGGAATCCTGTGTAGCTGAGTTCCTCTGGGCTGATCTCTCTCACTCTGAGAGAGAGAGAGAGAGAGAGAGAGAGAGAGAGAGAGGAGAAGAGAGAGAGAGAGAGAGGAGAGAGAGAGAGAGAGAGAGAGAGAGAGAGAGGGGGAGAGAGAGAGGCAAACAGAGAAAGTGAAGGAGAAAGAGTGAAGGAGGGATAGGCAGGAGGAAGAAAGAGAGAGACGTGAGGAAGCCAAGGAGAGCTACTGGATGCATAACATTCTCTCATCTTCTTCTCTGACAGTGCAGAGAAAGTTATGGCCGAAAACAACACCAATCTCTTTCTGGAAATACTTCAGTCATTTGATGTTGGTGAGTTTTTTCAACTCTCTCTCTCTCTCTCTCTCTCTCTCTCACCTCTCTCTCTTTCTCAGCTGCTCCTCTGCTCCTCTGTTGTGGTTTCTCTGTCGGCACTTCTCTGTTTTCACTGGAATGTATAGGTTTAATGAGGATGAGAGTACTTGAGTTGAATATTTTGTCAGGAAAATAAATAATGCATTCAAAACTGCATCTATCAGACCTTACAGACTAGTATTTAGACGCAAGACAAGGACAGACCCATAAAATCAGCAATATTGCAAAGCTTCCTCTCTGTTAGTATTTTTTCCTCCATCCTCCCAAATGTCATTTCCAGATGACTTCATGTCTGCTTTTCCCTTTTCCAACAGAGGAAAATGAAAAACTATGTAGAGGTAGCAGAGTACATTTACACTTCGTAAGACCTAACTGTATCCAAAGGCAAGTGATTTGTTTTTGCTGGCTGTGGTCCACTGGGATTTGTCCTCTGTTCCTTTCTCTCTTTTCAGAGAGACACATATGGTGACCATAGCATCTCAGGGAGCAAGTCAAAGACAACAAAATGTTGATCCTTATTTTGTGGGAAGGAGATGTAATCAGTTTTGTGTCTCTGGAGGACTTGGTCTCATAAACACCATAGAGGAAAGACTGTGATTATTTGGTTGTGGTGTGCCATTTTGGCAGAGTTCTATTAGTACATCATCAACAGCATTGTTGATATTAGGATAGTGACTTGTTGTGGGCTTGGCAGTACATATCTGGGCTGGGTCCAGATTGAAAACCGTTCCCTCCACAGACTATAAACCACAACACTTTTACTATGAGAGCTTCAGAGTTGTAGTTTTTAGTGTGACAACATATTTATTTTTTTACGAGCATGAAGGTGTCTATTGAATGTCTAATGATGATGCTAGATAATAGTGAGTTTTCAACAGGTCTTTTGAATATAAACCTCTTCTGTGTCCAAAAACTCTTACTCTATGTCTCCCTCAAACCAAGATATAACAAGTGGCCCCTTCCCTCTCTCTCCTTCCCAGTCTCCCTGATCATAGCTTTCTGTGTGTCCATTGCGGTGGGCATCCTATTGGGGGTGCTGGTCTATGTGGTCCTGACCTGGATGTCCCGTCGCAGGGCCGGCTCGGGCAGCATCACCCGCCGGCCACCTCGCCCGTCCCGCATCTCCCCGCGCGCCCGGCCTGGCTTCAACCGCAACAGCAGCTACGACCGGCGGAGCAACAACAGCCTGGTTAGCGCTGCCTTCAGCTTCCAACGCCAGGCATCCTCCCCAGACCAGGCTGACCCTTTGGGTCGCAAACCCAGCTTCAGGGCCTCCACCTTTCACCCACTCCTTCAGTGCAGCCAGATTGCCCGGGAAGCTGAGGAGGGGAGCCAGACCACGTTGCCTCGCACTCCAACCCTGACCACATCATCTGTGGCAGCCCACCAAACCGCAGCCCAGGCTGCTGCCACCCCACCCAGGCCCGAGTTGTTCTGGAGCAGTAGTAGTCTGAGGGGGTTCCATGCCACACAGACCCCACCTCCTGCTTATGAGAGCATTATAAGGGCCTACCAGGAGACCTGCACCTGAGGAGGTGATGGATGTGTCCAGGCTGATAGTGGACTGACTGAGCCCAGGGTTGTCAATGGGTGTTAGAACAATTGGATATGTTTGACTCGAGGGGAAAATAAAGAGCCCTAATGCTAATATATGTGTCTATGTGTGTTTGCTTGTGTGTGTATGTGTGTGTGTGTCACCTGTTTAAGACTGTGTGTTTGTGAGCAAGAAAGAGATGGCCTTGTATCATGTTTATTTTCAGATAAGACAGAGTGTTTGTTGTACATGTGTGGATGTGTGTGTGTGAATGTGTGTGCGAATGTGTGTGTGTATGTGTCTAATGAGATTTATAAGATTGAGAACTCATGTTGATTTCCATCATGAACCAACCCAATCCACCCATGTAACTGGACTGCTTTCTATTTGTGAGCTTGGACATGCAAAATGATATGGATAGACAATGTTTGCATGAAGAAACACAAACCTCTACTATGATCCAATGAGGGTTACTCTCCAAGGGAATCTGCTAAATATGTGTATGTACAGTATGTATGATTGTCATGGATCTGATTTATAAAATGGTCACCGTTTTGGTTGGAATTTACTGGACATTGATCATAACTTAACACAATAAAATGCTGAAAGAAATTGTAAATATTCTGAATATGAAACGTAATATAATCTGTACCAGAGACTTGGAATCACATAATTGTGCCCTTATTTGGTGCCAATGCTGTCCAGTGTCCAGTCTATAGGCTACCCTTTTCTGGTTGGCAAACTGACATATCTCTGACTGACTCCCTCTCACTGTTTCCTGAGGAAGGAATTATTTCACTGGACTGAAATGTAAGAGGTCAGGGCTTTAGGTGCCCAGTTACACAATGGCCAAAGAGACAGTCTACCACAGAAAAAGCATGGTTACATTTCTTCAGCCCCATCCCTCAGCCATTTACTAAAAAAGTGGCGGGGTGTAGGCTTTGTTGATATTTGAATCCCAGATTGCCCATTTAAAGTAAGTGGATATTGAACAGCCTCAGGAGGTTGGTGGCACCTAAATTGCGGAGAACGGGCTCGTAGTAATGACTGGAGCGGAATCAGTGGAATGGTATCAACTACATCAAACACATGGTTTCCAGGTGTTTGATGCCATTCCATTTGCTCCGTTCCGGCCATTATTATGAGCCATTCTCCCCTCCGCAGCCTCCACTGTGACAGACCAGCAGAATAATATTTAGGCATTTAGGCATAGGGATCAAAATAAACTAAAGTAAGGGTTAAGGTTAGGTTTATGAACTATGTTTACGATATTGTTTCAGTGTGGTTTGGGAAAGGCATAAAAGTTAACATTGGGTTAGTGTACCGCCGTCATTCTGCCAGTGACCTTCTTAGAACAATTGACCACACCCCCAAACAATTATCTTCAAGACATCATCCTCAAAATGCAGGTTGAATCCAAAACCACCGCCTAGCCCCTACCAACTCCCTCGGAGGGCCTGACGAAACTCCGAGGGTGACTTCCAGACTGGCGAGGGGATCAATAAACCCATCAATTTCGGGACACACTCATGACTTGAATGATGCAATTCATGTTACACTTTTAAATAATAAAACGAGCATGAAATTCAAATGAATATATCCCCCCTGTTATTTTACTAAATATAAACCTCAGAAACAGTTGAACATTTAATTTGGGAGGTATTTCATATTTTACATGCGTCAAGTCTCGACATAAGACAAAAACAAATGCACGTGTCATAGAAATAGGAACGCCTCTCCATTATTTTGTTTAATTCGTGTTTAATGAGCATTACGGTAGTTGGAGTTCTGGAGAAAGAAATCTGCTTTGAGGTACTACGGTAGCGCTGTTTTTTATTTTTTCATAACACAGCTGACAAAGGTTGGGGTTGAGAGAGAGGAAGCTCTCTACTAGCCCTTCAAAATACACAAATTAAATCTTCGAAATAAGGTAAATTGGTATAATATCTAGCGAACTACACCCATCACTTCAAGCCTGGTTACAATCTCATGTTTGTTTGTCTGTTACGCTACCCTAGCTAACTTCAGCTGTATAATTAACGTTACATTTGCCCAAGTTTTTTAGCTAGCTAGCTAGCTACTATGTAACGTTAGGTAAGTTACGCGTGACCCAAGTTGATCCGATTGCTCAATCATGTCACAGACTGGATGTTTGTCTACAACAAGTTAATTGGTTTGATCAAAGAACTACCCATCGGCAAAATAAGTGGCTGCTCTTTTGCTGAAATGGGAACATAGCTAGCTAGCCAGGGCCAGGCACCTTGACTTGTCTATAGAGGTAGCTAAGTTAGCTAGCTAACTAGCCAACCGGTAGCTTGCTGGCTAACCTGTCACATCTCTAGCCGCATTTTTTTTAAAAATTAAAAACAACAACATTTTAGTCATTTAGCAGACGCTCTTATCCAGAGAGACTTACAATTAGTGAATGCATACATTTTCATACTGGCCCCCCGTGGGAAACGAGCCCACAACCCTGGCGTTGCAAGCGCCATGCTCTGACAACTGAGCTACAGGGGACGAGGCTATCACATCTCCTCTGAAACTACGAATAAATAACTTCCCCTTTCACATACATTGATGATGCTCTTCAGGGTACTGTAGTGTAGTTTCTCTCTCTCAGCCATTTGCGGTAATAGTGCTGTAGCTATGTTTGCTGGTTCATTTGATTTCTTTCTTGGGTGAATGTGTGTAGAGAGAGGATGTCTGTGGCTGCACTCCGTATGATACGCTGCAGGAGGCTGAGCAGCACCACTGGCCCTGGTGTGAAGAAGGTGCTGCCGTGGAGGGACATCAGTATGTTCTGGGACTGAGCTGTCCCCCTTCACAAGCCACACTCAATAAGGAAATATGATCACTTATCAAATAGCCGATACACCCACATAATGTGTGATCATCTGGTTTTCTTTAATATCCTTAGCAATTAAAAAAGAACATCTTTGTCTTATGTTTTGATTTCAGGGAAAATTGCAAAGGTGACCGGAGCTGTCATATTGGGGTAGGTAAAGATGATAATAATCACTTCACATATACACTCAGACCTACTAAGTTATTTTAGGTTGGGTTCATTGGGTATGGAGACATTCTATCCCCTATCTGCTCTAACTACTGTATATCTTGTCTATGGCTTCATTCCTCTCTCAGGGGTTGTGTGTTTATAACATACGAGGTGGTTTCCTTGAACCAGGCGGTGAGCATCGACATGCAGGCTATTCAGCAGGAAAAGCTAAAGTCCTACATCTACCTGTCAGCCACGCCCTCTAAAGAGCAGGAGAACATTGGCACAGGTAGAGTATGTCATTTACCTCACCTGGGCTTTGTGACAAGGCGCTGTCATGTGCTCTCTGATAACAATAGTTATCAGTACATACATGATATTCCACATAGGGAATGCTGAGACTTGTTGTTATGTGCTTTTTCTTTCCTCTATCTGGTTTACAACCCAAAATTGAGGGGGTTTTGGAACACGTTTGAATGCCCCAATACTTCCTCAAGAGTCTACTCAACAAAAGGCCTACATGTGGTACATGTTGTCACAAAATATATTGGCTGAGTTTTCATTTACGAGGAAGAGTTGTTGATGGGTTTATGCCAGGTCCAGGTGTCCAGTGACGACAGTCTTCCTTCCTCCCTCTGCACTCCCTCCTGGGTACTGTAGCTCAGCCTGTCTGGTCCCTGCTCTCACTTCCACTGGCCAAGGCTGCTGTGAACGAAAACAGACCATCCAGCCAAGACAGATAGGAAACGGTTTAGAGAAGCAGTAAACAGAAGCAAGCAACAACTGTCATTTTAGAACAAGATTTACAGGCTAAGAGCCTATTGTTTGGTCAATTTTATTAGCAAATGTGCAGGTAGGTCAACCAGAGGTCCAGCCTGGAGAAGTTTACAGATATACCTTGGTACATAGTTCATTTGAGGTGTTAAAATACTGTGTTATAACATGTTAATTACTGATTGTAACCAAACCCATGTATCTGTTTCAGGGCTCACATATAAGGCCAGGAGAGAACTTCATAAAGCAGCAAGGAGGTTTCTGGAAATTTCCTCAAGGATTCTTCTGAGGCCTCTGGATGGTGAGAAAGATTCACTGAAAGTAGTTTCCTCATACACTGCACTAAATTCACAACAGCAGTATTGTTTTTGTAGTTTTAATTTTACTAAAGCTACAGCTGCATTTAGAAACCTACACACAATACTTTAGTTGTTGTACCACATGCATTTAAACTTCCTATTCTGCTAGTACTGGAAAGCAAAAGTCAGTATTGTGAATAGAAACATTAGTGTTCATCCTCCAAGCACCGGGTAAAGCTCAGTTGGGGTATTTCAGACGCACGGGTGGACGTCAGTAGGTTTGTTATTGAGACAACGTGTTCACCTCAGGAAATACCTGCCCCTCACTTCCTGGGTTTGAATGCCAACTTTAGTGTGTCTTCATGCATGTACTTTTGTGTGTATTCTTACACTTGAGTCATCACCAGTCACAGGTGTGGACTGAACCCCCTCCCCTCTCCTTAATGCTTTAGAATGTGCAGACATTATGTAATTCAATTGTACAATGGGGACTGTACTGCAGATTCTGATTGTACATTAAAAACTGTTCTAACATTAACCTTTTCTGACCTTACTGTTTGGCACTTGATAGCTGCCCCGGCTGCCAGGCCGATGATAACAGCAGGTCTGCAGTCTCATTGCTGTAGTACAGTAGTAGAATAAGGATTGATGGAATTAGGTGGTAGATTGTCTTTGTTTGTACTGTAGATTATATTAGACCCTTGGTAATTTAGATGTAGTTCTTAAATGTATTTCAAATTAAATATATTATGTAAGAACATGCTCGTAAAAATATCCATATTTCCATCATAAAAGTGTAAATTGTAACTGTTTTTGTGAATGCCAGAGCACCTGAGTCGTATGGATGCGGACCCCCATGAGGTGGCGCTGTGGGTCCTGTTGAAGAGGGCTTGTTCAGCCAATAGGACCACCAGACTGTCAGCTGTACAGGAGCTGGCCCAGAACCACCACTGGCAAGGTGAGACATCACCACTTTCAACCTGTAAACATGTGAAATGTGTGCGAATGATAGTGATTGGTCCGTTTCCCCTGTCCATCACAGACTACCAGTACCAGACAGCAGCCCAGGCCATAGACCAGAGGACGGCATTGGGTCTGGCCCGCACCTCTCAGGTGGACCAACGCTTCTTCCTGTCTCCGCCTGTTCTGCCTGGGGTGGAAGATGTAGGTATCTCTCACTGATGGGGATTCAAATGATTGTGTATAAAGGTGCTGTGTGTGTTTTAATGTGAGTGTGTTTGTTTGGCCCTCTCCTTAGGGGTTGTCTGTAGAGGATGGTCTGAGGCAGCTGCTGGCGTCTCTCCCCCAGTCTGAGGTGGACCAGTGTGTCCAGTACTTCACCTCACTGGCCCTGAGGGAGAGTACCCAGTCCCTGGCCGCACAGAGGGTAAGAGATGCTCACACACATATACATACATACATACATACATACATACATACTCACGATTTTAGGTAGATAACTGGATCTCTCTGTTTTAGGGGGGTCTGTGGTGTTTTGGGGGGAATGGATTGCCCTATGCCCAAAGCCTCACTTCTGTCCCTACTGAGAAGGTTGAGTCCTTCTGTCTGCAGGCCCTAGTGCAGCACTCCAAGGTTCTGTAACATTTTGCTTCAACCACTTGTAACTCAAGCAGACATTTTGTCAAGGGACTTTTGCTAAACATTGTTAGCCTTTATTGTCAAGTTGCATGAACATATTTTTCATCAATACCTTGTAACTCACCATAACAGAACCTCAAGGTTCTCATATAATAGGATACAGTCGTTGACACTATCAGGGGATATTAAGAGCGTATAAATGCATTCTAACAACTGTATGTCTGTCCTCTAGGTCCAGAGTCACTGCGACCACATCGTGGCCAACGGGGGCCTGCATCTCCTTCAGAGGGTCTACCAGCTCCGCAGAGACTCCCCGAAGATCCAGAGGAACATTGTACGCATCATCGGCAACCTGGCTCTCAACGATAGTGTGCACCCGGCCATAGTACAATCAGGTGGGTGCTAGCTCTCCCCTCAGTGTGTCAGGTGGATGCAAGTTCTCCCCTCAGTGTGTCAGGTGGGTGCTAGCTCTCCGCTCAGTGTGTCAGGTGGGTGCTAGCTCTCCCCTCAGTGTGTCAGGTAGGTGCTAGCTCTGCTCAGTGTGTCAGGTGGGTGCTAGCTCTCCGCTCAGTGTGTCAGGTGGGTGCTAGCTCTCCGCTCAGTGTGTCAGGTGGCTGCTAGCTCTCCGCTCAGTGTGTCAGATGGGTGCTAGCTCTCCACTCAGTGTGTCAGATGGGTGCTAGCTCTCCACTCAGTGTGTCAGGTAGGGGCTAGCTCTCTGCTCAGTGTGTCAGATGGGTGATAGCTCTCCACTCAGTGTGTCAGGTAGGTGCTAGCTCTCTGCTCAGTGTGTCAGATGGGTGCTAGCTCTCCACTCAGTGTGTCAGGTAGGTGCTAGCTCTCTGCTCAGTGTCTCAGGTGGGTGCTAGCTCTCCACTCAGTGTGTTAGGTAGGTGCTAGCTCTCTGCTCAGTGTGTCAGGTGGGTGCTAGCTCTCCACTCAGTGTGTCAGGGGTACTGGCTATCGGATTATGTTCTGTTACTAGTGCCATTATTATTGGCTATCGGATGTGATGTTCTGTTACCTTGCAGGTTGGGTGTCAGTGCTAGCGGAGATGATGCAGTCTCCACACATCATGCAGGCGTCTCATGCTGCTCGGGCTCTGGCCAACCTGGACAGGGAGACGGTCAAGGAGAAGTACCAGGATGGAGTCTACGTGTTACATCCCCAGTGCCGAACCAGGTACACATTATTCATTGTGACTAACAACGTTTCCATCCACAGTTTTTATGCAAGTAAAGTCATACCGTATAAATAAAAAAGTCACGACAGCTGTGATGGAAACAGGAAGTTTCGGTACAATTTGATAAATGCAGACAGATAATTTGTTTGTTTGACATGGTAGGATCTTTTTGTGTCTGTAAAATGTATTATGCGAGATGGCGGTGGAAACGCCTTTATGCTCAAATATTGATATAATAACCATCATATCGAAGTCACGCGATGATACACTATATAGACAAAAGTATGTGGACTTCCCTTCAAATTAGTGGATTCGGTTATTTCAGCACACCCGTTGCTAACTGGTGTATAAAATCGAGCACACCGCCATGCAATCTCCATAGACAAACACTGGCAGTAGAATGGCTTTACTGAAGAGCTCAGTGACTTTCAACGTGGCACCGTCATAGGATGCCACCTTTCCAACAAGTCAGTGAGATGTTCGACGAGCAGTGTCCACATACTTTTGGTCATGTAGTGTATGTTGTGTGGTCCTCCCACTACAACTCGGGGAAATGCAGTTTATCAGGCTACAGATGAAATAAGTTATGATGAACTTCACAGGGTGTTGAAAGTGCACTGTGATCCTGATGCTCCTTTCCAATAAATATTGAGGGTCTTATTCTGGTGACATGATGATCGATGCTTGACTGCTGTTCGACAAATAAAAATATTCTCACTCTTATCTATAATAATCTCATCGTGTTGTTTAACCTAACCGCACAGCCTACCCACACTGTATCTGCTAGCTGTTGGCTAGAGCGCACGTGCCAAAACCAGAGTAAGCACATTTGCTATTTAATGCAACCGTTTTTGTGACAAAATTATCGGTAGAGTTGAAAATCCAATGGAAATCACATTAACATTTTATTATTATTCGGTACATGAAAACTTAAGCGAAAAAAGTACATTTTGTGTGCACTACGTCATCACGCACTGATTTTTAGCCGCAAAAAGAAACTCACCACTGGTGAGAAAAAGTGCATATTTTCTTTATGCAGAATTCTAGAGTATTCGCATAAAAATCTGTCGCCAATTGGATAGAAACCTAGCTACTGTCAAATAATAAAATGTCTTTGTACTTCCCATATTCACACAACCACTCCCCTTTTTTTATGCGTTTTGTCTCCAGCCAGCCAATCAAAGCGGATGTTCTCTTTGTCCACGGGCTCCTGGGGGCGGCCTTTAAGACGTGGCGGCAGCAGGACTGTGACCCTACGGAGGAGAAGGCGGCGGGGGCCAGCGAGGACTACACAGAGTGCTGGCCCAAGGTAACACCTGGTAGAGGGTGATTTATTATGTGTCACTGTAGTACTCATGACTTTACCACCAGATGGGAGAATATGTCACCTTTGCTGATGTAGAATGTATGTTTGAGTCATATGAAGCCAAGCCTGCTCACCGACGTCCTCTCCCTCTTTGACTGGTTCTTTCTCTCCCCTCCCCATTGGTCAGTCGTGGTTGGCTGCGGACTGCCCCAACCTGAGGGTTCTATCTGTGGAGTATGACACTCACCTGAGTGACTGGAGAGCCAAGTGTCCTGTTGAAAACCAGAGGTGTGTGTCTTCTCTTTCCTCAACTTCCTTAGTGTGACCATATTACTGTATTGTTCAGACATTCCTGGTGACAACTCTACTGATACTGTTGTATGTCTGTGCCCTTAGGATGTCTCTGGCCTATAGGAGTCGAGAGCTGCTGAAGAAGCTAAAGTCAGCAGGAGTAGGAGACAGGCCTGTGGTCTGGGTTTCACATAGCATGGGAGGTAAGCTATCTTTTACTATTTAGCAAAAAATTGACAATGGACAAACACCTGTTAGTTTCGAATTCTCTAACCTCTAACATTTCCTATCAGGTTTGCTGGTGAAGAAGATGCTGTTGGATGCATCGAGAGACCCAGACATGAGAGAACTGATGAAGAACACCAAGGGCGTCATGTTCTACAGTGTGCCCCACCACGGCACCTTCATGGCAGAGTACTCTGTCAACGTCAGATACCTCCTCTTCCCCTCCGTAGAGGTCCGGGAGCTCTGCAGAGGTATGGACAGAAGTCATTTGTGATTATATTGGAGGTCAGGTTAGAAAGACCGATTCTTAACAGTAGTGTTTTAGATAGTAATAGCCTCCCATTGCATTGCATCCATTTGTGTTACAGATAACGAACATACTCCTGTTTATGATGTTATTTGCATCATCGTCTATACGTATTCCCTCATTCCCAGACTCTCCTGCGTTGCGTGACCTGAATGACAACTTCCTGAACATGGCCAAGGACAGGGAGTTCAATGTGCTGAGTTTTGCAGAGACTATGCCCACCACCATCGGCCCCATGATCAAGATACTGGTGGTGCCAATGCAGTCAGCAGGTAGGCTGCTGTCAATTAATACATTCTGTAGAACATATTCACATGTGCCCTATATCTAAAATGTACCTATGAATTCAGGTTTTTCTTTCAATTCAAATTCTTGAACTTTTGAACTTCTTCCATGTGAATTTCCTAACTCTGAGACTACTCCGGTTTCAGATCTGGGCATTGGGGACCTGGTCCAGGTGGATGTGGATCACCTCAACATCTGCAAGCCTGAGAAGAAAGACTCGTTCCTCTACAAGCGCAGCCTAAAGTTCATCCAGGATGCACTGAAGGGCTACACCAGCCACTGACACCATCACTGACACCAGCCACTGACACCAGCCACTGACACCAGCCACTGACATGTCAACAGCTGCTATGATGCTTGAATTGGAAGAGGAAGGGGTACTGCCTCACAGAAACTGCCTCTCTTTGTTGCACATGTAAAGAAACCATAGATTTGATTATAGTGTTTTACAAAAAAAGATATGTTTTATGTACGTATGAAGGATTTTTGAGAACGTATTCATTGGGTTTATTATAGAAAATGGCGCTCCACCTGTTCTCCAGCTAGATCTCACTTAGCACTTAGCAGATGAGTTTTATTTAAATGATTTTTTAAATGATCTCAACCATGTTTACAGGTAGTTTAAAGCTGTAAAAAAGACATTGGATATTGACTTTGCTTCTTCTTCCCCTTTGTCCTTGATCCTGGTCAAGTAGACATTTTAACATTCATACTTACTGTAATTTAACCAAGAGACACTGTACTACCCTGCACTACAACTCATTCATTGATTACACAGTATGAATTCGTGGCTTGAGTGGTGTATTTTGTATTTGTATTTATTATGGATCCCCAATAGCTGCTGCCAAGGCAGCAGCTACTCTTCCTGGGGGCCAGCAAAATTAAGGCAGTTAAAAAAATTGTTAAAACATTACAATGCATTCGCAACAGATTTCACAACATAATAAGTGTGTGCCCTCAGGCCCCTATTCTACTCTACTACCACATATCCACAACACAAAAGCCATGTGTATGTGTGTATAGTGCGTATGTTATCGTGTGTTTGTATGCATGTTTCTGTGCCTATGTTTGTGTTGCTTGGTGTGCTTAAGGTCTACTTATTTTATTTCATTTTAGTTCACCTAAGAGCTGTATGTATATATATTAACAGACTTAAAGCATTGCCTTGTTACTGTATGTACCATACTGTATTATTTCCTCAAGCCTTACCTCAGATACACATGAAATATTTTAAAGACTGGTTGATATATTTATTTTGTTGAACAGGAACCTGACCACGTGATGCTCACTAACTCCATTGTATTGCTAATTAAGGCATTTAACTTTATTATGCTTATGGCTCAGTTACATTTGAACCTTTATTTGACTTGAAATGTAATGTAAACAAATCCTGAGCATTGACAGACATTACCATGTCAAATAAACTAGATGTACAAAATAAAAAGCTATATTGTATTTGCTGTATTGGTCATAAAATGTATGTTAAGCCATTGATGGCAGGTTTTGAACAATTGATTTGAATTATAGCTTTGAACTTTCAGTCCACCTAACCTTTGTACCTCATCGGACACCATACATCCCACAATGCCTTTCGCGCTAAGGCATTTTGTATTTGTTGACAACGCAGCCAGCCAGCCAGCCAGACTTTCAAGCTCTGTAAGTACAGAATAGTACACCGATTAGCTATTTATCGCCACAAAAGGACAATCAGCAGAGAGCTGATCTACTCCAGATTGAATTTTCGCAAATCGGCAAGTTTTGAGATTGTGAAGGAAGCATGTCAAAGACTGAGCATTTCAAAGTGTAGCAAACTAGGCTAGCTAGCTATTCAACAATGATGCTAATAACGCCTGCTAACGTTACCTAGTCCTCAATTCGCTCCTCCTTGTCTCACTTTAACATGAGTAAATTACCTCTGCAGTGAGAAGCAACAGTTCAGTTAATTACTTTTATAATTTGTCATAGTTCAAGGTACATGCATGTCACATTGTGTTGGTGTTTACGCCTTCATTTTGGTTGCAATCTTTTTTCCAGGTTTTGGAGACTGGTGTTTGGAAGCTAACAGCATCATGGTCAACGTACTAAAGGGTGTTCTTGTCGAATGGTATGCTTGCACAAAGCCTATCATATTTTATGATTATCAAACAGAAATCAATCAAGCTAATCACATGAAACATGCAGAAAATCCGGCTTGTCTGCTTTACTGCACCAGCTATGAGAATCAGATGTTTCAGGATAAAATCACAGGTCTCATCTCTTCTTTCCCCACAATTTGAAACAGTGACCCTGCCATGAAGCAGTTCCTACTGTACCTAGATGAGACGTCTGCCCTGGGAAAGAAGTTTATCATACAGGACCTTGACGAGACCCATGTTTTCATTCTGGCCGAGGTGGTCCACATACTCCAGGAGAGAGTTGGGGAGCTGATGGATCAGAACTCCTTCCCCATCACTCAGAAATAAAGAAGGAAGAAGGTGCTTCAGCAATCGAACAAGTGATGTTCTTTACAAACATTGAACTGTCTGTCTGGGGATTTTTGTTCAGTGAAATATTTGTATTTATAGGTGTGATCCTTTATTCTGCATGCCAGCAGCCCACGTCCCCCCCCCCCCCCCCCCCCCCCAGTTATGTGGAGTAATTCAAGGAATTTATCATTAGTTTTTCATCCAAACTGGTGCAAATATGTTTTGTTAAATGTGTTGTCTTTTGATCATGCTTTAAAATGAGACCGGTGGCTATTAGCCTACACTGCAAACTTGCGAATGACCGATGTTTCAGCCCACTTTAATACACCTGTTTCTATGGTGTATAAATAATTAAATTTCATGTATATTCATAACTTTTAGATGGCTTAAATTACATGTAATAAACTTTTGTATCTGTCTCAATTAGCTTTAAAACGTGTTTTTTTGTTTATACATTTCCTGCACTCTTTTCTTATCCATGATTAGGTTTCTTGGGTTTTTAAGGTAAAGCCAGCCAATTATGTGATATTCATGTTATAATATTGCACAGTAAGCTTTGAAGATGTAATCAGCGAGGATGGAAATATACCCAGTCTCTTTGTTTTTATTTTGAACAGTGAAGAATTATACATTATTTGTACATGCAACAGCCAGTACAGAAACAACGATCATAATCAACCATGCGCATGCGCCGCAAACGCACCCAAACTTGGGCGACAGCTGAGCTAGCTGGATAGCGGTAACCGTCGTTCGTTGTTCACATCATGGATGAGTTTCAGACTGGAGAAGAGGTTAGCTAGATGTTTAAAATGGCTAACTAATATATCTAGCTAATTAATGTAACATTTGTTTAAATGTAATGCTATTTGAAGACGCATTCTAGCTATGTTTGCTAGGCAGCTAGCGCCTGTTGTTCCCCAGCTACTATAACTGTTCTGCATCCCTTTGTCTTTTTATCCTGCCAGACTGCCTTTGTCGTTGACGAAGTGAGCACTATCATCAAAGAGGTACTTTTAGCTAAGTGAAAAGTTAGCTAATGGTTGCATTGGTAGGAGACATTCATGTTCAGCAAAGTAGCCTAGCTATTTTCTACCTTGCGACAACTCTCATCTCCTGCTGCCCGTTGCTAAGGACATCATGCAGGGACTAAATTGGTTGCTAGCCAGTGACCAATATGAGAATGACACTAATGTGGTCTGTGACACTGCCGTTTATTCATTGGTATTTTCTCTGGATAGTCAGTAATTTCAGAAACTAAGCCTGTTCCTCTTTTTTTTATGTCTTTACTGTCTTTTCAGTCAGTAGAAGGAGCCATAGGAGGAAATGCCTACCAACATAGCAGAGTGAACCAATGGACCACCAATATAGTGGAGCAGTCCCTGAGTCAACTAAGCAAGCTGGGCAAGCCTTTCAAGTACATTGGTATGTAGCCCTGAATGCAATGAAAGGAAAAGTGTTTGGCTGGGCTATATCAAGCCACATCAGTTGTGGGGGGAGGCACATATAATAATAATATGCCATTTAGCAGACGCTTTTATCCAAAGCTACTTACAGTCATGCGTGCATACATTTTTTTGTGTATGGGTGGTCCCGGGGATCGAACCCACTACCTTGGCGTTACAAGCGCTGTGCTCTACCAGCTGAGCTACAGAGGACCACAATTGAATTGTTACTTTATTTCCTTCACTAAAATATACCATCACCACTTTCATTGATGGATCATCCTATACAATGATCATACTTACAAATCCAGCTCAATGTGGAATGTGTATTATTGCTGAAAGGGTCGTTTCACAGTTGTTTCTCTTTCTCCACAGTGACCTGTGTTATCATGCAGAAGAACGGGGCAGGTCTACAGACAGCCAGCTCGTGCTTCTGGGATAACACCACTGATGGTGAGAATCTCTCTCACAGACACACAATCTCTACAACCAGATTATATGAGATAGTCTAGATGGAGATTCTGTCATTGATCCCGCCTAACCTTCTCTTCCAGGAAGCTGTACAGTGAGGTGGGAGAATAAATCCATGTACTGCATCGTCAGTGTCTTCGGCCTGGCCATCTGAAACTACTGCCTGCACTCAATTACACTACATTAATGAAAGTTCGTGTTTTTCCATTCCGTCCAAACTGATTGTTGGCATAAAGTCCACCATACCAAAGTATTTCTACTGCTTCTAAAGACTGTTTTGTGCATCTTGTTTATGTTTTACGAGGACCAATTTGTCATGTGTTATGATTTGTTAGTGATGTTTGAATAAATTATTTCATGTTTTCAATTGTTGCTTGTTTGCCAGCTTCCAATATAAGCCCCAATTATAATTAATTCTACCACCACAACACCTATAGGCCAGTGAAATGCTGAGTAAAGAGATCACCCCAGAGACACATTGTCTTATCGTCAGATAGCGTGACAACTCCATCTGCACTGATCGGCTGAGGACTGTCGTGTAGGAATGACGCCACCTGTCGGAAGACAATGCCCAGCGACATGCATGTTTTATAAATTAAGTTAATTAATATTTGCCGTATACACAAATGCTTTATTTACATGTGATAAAGTATTTACAGAGTGCTGCTCAGTCATTAAACATAGGGATGCTTTTCTAATTTAGTCAAAAGAAAGTCACTGCCATAAAGAAAACCACAGCTCTTACTCAAACCTCAAAATAACCACCACAATCATCTCCCTATAAGCCACAAGTATATATTATTATTCAAAGATGCGCCATCACAAACACAAAAATATTTTTACAAGATTTAAGACTGCAGTCAAGGTTTTGGAGGAAACCCCTGACCCTGGTACAAAGTGAAAACAAGGCACCATCTTTATTAGAATACATGTTTAGAGGATCAGGGGATCAGTGGTAATTATTTCCTTCAACACAAAACAGTTCATTCGTTTGGTTCAGAGAGAAAATGACAAATGGTTAGTGATGATGATGAAAACTAACTTGCCTCCTAGAACCTGTATCCATAAAATCATCCATTGAGTATAGAATAACAAAATAAAGAGGTACAAAGTAATAAGCCAGAATGTTATTATTTGGTTCATATGTATGGATGATGAAATGTACATATAGCCAAAGTACCTTTGTGAAGTAAACAAAACAAAAAAAAAGCTTTTCTATGAAAGGCAAGCTAGGATGAAAGATGGAAGGGCCATGATATGACAAACATGCTAAATGCTACTTGAGTGTTCCTTTAACATACAGGTGTCAAACTCATTCCAGTGAGGGCTGAGTGGCTGCGGGTTTTCGCTCCTCCCTTGTACTTGATTGATGTATTAAAGGTCACTAATTAGTAAGGAACTACCCACACATGGTTGTCTAGGTCTTAATTGCAAGGAAAAACCAAAAACCTGCAGACCCTAGGCCTTCCATGGAATGAGTTTGACACCCCTGCCTTAATATTTCACAATACACATTTCAAATTATAAAGCATTAGAAGTGTTCGAATGAACTTAAACGATATGAAGATTCCTGAAGTCTAGACTATTGCTTCGGGAATGTGAAAACTGAAGAAAACGTACATTCTACATAGCTATTAAACAATAACAATAGTGCCGTAATTTTTTGGCAAAAATACATTAAATTCGGACACCAGGAGTACAAGGAATGCTTCACTTAAGAATGGATTGGCAAAGGAGTGGGTCAACCGTTAGCTACACCTACTCAACTTAAGGTTCTCCCTGCTGGTTATTATAACGCATGGTGGTAGTCAGGTAAATATTCAGAAAACTTCACTTCTATGGGTATTAGATTGATGGATATGCATGCTTCTACTCTGGATGTTAACAGAGTATACGACAAGCATACAACAGTAAATTGTTGCTGTATACTGGTTTTACAACCATTTGAGATAAAGGTCTTGGATGAAAACAGTGTCAGCATGGTATGTTTTCTGAATAACTCCCCCTCAATAAACCCAGAATATCAGAGAGCTTAGTAGGAATGGCTAAAAACAACACATTTCAAGCACAAAAAGAGACAGTAGTGGTTTAACTCTAGATACATTGTGATTTTTCTGTATAAATAATAAATCCCATGATCAATAGTCACGCTTTCCTTTTACTTCAAAGTTAATCTATATATCCAGGAATTAAGAAATGCGGCTCATGATAACCAAACGATACTACAGTGTACAGAACAGAATGTTTGTTTTTATGTGGCTAGTTAACAACTAAAATGCTACAAAACATTTTCTGACCATACCTACACGCCTTCCTTTCTTTGGATTTCCATTCAGAATACACAATTTTTCTGTTAAAAAATATATTTATGTACTAGGGCTGGCACAATTACCGTATAACCGACGGTTATGGATGAAAACCGTCAAGACGGGACGGCCGGGCATTTGAGTCCGTTTCTGTGGTAACATGTACTCTTAACGTGATTAAACTTGTTGCTCCTTGCTGAAATAAGAAACTAGCAAACAAGTCTTCGGTTCCCTAAGCAACTCCCCCCACAATGCAGCAGAATAATAATTAATTATATTTCTATGGCAGCACATGCAGTCAGGAGCGAAGGAGGAGAAAATGTGTGTTAAAAAAACGATTATTACGGAGACCGCAGTCATTTGGCTGGCCAATTACCATCATTCAAAATTCCATGACCTTCACAACCCTAACATTTACAGTATATTACCATTTGCATTATTTATGCAAACGTTCCTTATTTACAAATGGTGGTTCGTTCGTTGTATGTGCTGTCCAATGAGGGGATTCGATTAGGCTAGCCCGGGCAGGCGTAATTTGCACCGGGTGAAAAGTGATTGCAATCGTTTTGTGATCGGGGTGCCTCCCGGGCATGAGCCGTGTGCCCCGTTCTGGCTGACAGCAAAGTCGGCTCAAAACAAAAGTGACATAGTTTAAGCACATGGAGAAATGAGTAAGACTCTGTTTTCACATGTAAAAGCGATTGATTTTGATTTTTAAAAAGCTTTATCTGCCTTCCCAATGAAAACGAGTAAAAAAAAAAAAAAAGAGAAAAAGAGATGCATCATGCTGCCTGTCTTATTGTTCGATTTGAGAAGGGTGCGCCTCCCTCACAGTCTTCGCCCGGTCACGTGACGGGCCATTGCCTGATGCAACCAGGGCCAGTTTAATAGAACCCCCTCAAGGATTCGATCAGGACAACAGGGGAGTGAGTGACGCACCAATCAGGAATGAGATCAGTCGCTGTCACTCTCATTCTGGTACTTCGCTGTTGCTTTGATGGCACGGCCATTTTGCAAAGGCATCTCCTCGTAATCGCTCCTTCATAGAAAAGAAAGACAAATATCTATTAGTCTGAGCAGAAACACATTTACACATTCAAAGCAGGCATATGCAGAATCCAATATCTAGAATTGATGATCTCAAGACAGTGACTCCTACATCTTTGAAGTAGAATGATGTATAACATAAAGGTAATGAGAGACAGTGAATTAACATGATTACTTACCCGTATATAACTTCATCATCGGAGTCATTGAGCATGGAGAATGCAGGATTATCCTTCAACTGGGAGTCTAATACACAAGATAATGAGATTGGTTACTTATTGCCGTTTCAGTCTCATCTTTCAATTCTCATTGCATGTTTTTTTCCTCAATAATCACTTACCATAAATGGCGTCTTTTGAGGGGGAATACACAAATGCTAATGTGTACAAGTAAAAGTTGAGTAAGCCATAGAAAGATAAAAATTCAGCTGGTAAGTCTGGAGTTAAGGATCACATCTAAGTAAACTAGTTAACATCATATCTAACGCATGCAAAGCTCGTCAAGATGACAATGTTTTGAACCCTATGCTACTGACCACAGAATTCACAATAGAAGAGAAGACATTAGATGGCAGGTAGCCTAGCGATTACGAGCGTTGGGCCAGTAACCGAAAGGTTGCTGGTTCGAACCCCAAAGCTGACTAAGTGAAAAATCTGTCCATATGCCCTTGAGCAAGGCACTTAACCCTGATTGCTCCTGTAAGTCGCTCTGGATAAGAGCATCTGCTAAATGACAAAAAAAGACATTGACAAGAAAGGATATAGTTCTGGTAATGGGTTGACAACTCAGCCACAAAGTTGTCTTGCAAAGCCTTGGCACCGAACCTCAGATAGAGTATGGCCATGCTAGAGAGAAAGGATGGGATAAGACAATATTATTATGTTTGATCCATCCAGTTTAGATACCATGACCAGGCTCAATGGAAGTCAACCCAAGGCAACAGGTGACAGTGACCGTACCTTATTACCAGGACCACGAACGTCAGCGCAGTCAGAAACTTCAGCCGGAGATCTGATGACCAAGATGAGACCACAGATCAATATAAAGAATATTAGGAAAAGCTAAATGAGAGTGAATGTATCAAAGGCAAAGGGAACCCATAACTCTATTGACATTAAAATATGACAACTGCATCATTGTTACCGGTATAGGGCATGTTCTTGAGCTCAGAACAAGCTCTGACGATGAGGAAGATGAGATACAGGATGTACAGGGTCACCACCACCAGGAAGAAGATCTTCATGCCCTGGAAGTACAACAATAACTTTTATCAACATGATGGACGTTGCACTACCTCCACCGTTAATGTCCCAAATTCTACCAGGTTGAAAAAAATAATGGATGTGTGCTTTTGGAATTTTACATAAAAATAATCTCACAGAAGGTAAATGTGTTCCACTCACCTGGAAGTTAGCAATGTCCACTTTGTACTGGTAGGTGGGGTCCTGTAGTTCATTGACCCTGTGGATGTAAAGGAAATTAGAGCTCATCACATCCTTTTCCAAACAGAGTCTGTTATACAGTGTTAGTTTGACAGAGTTCTTCAGACTTACGTTTGCCATATCCCCAAGGTAACTGCTGAGAGCCACAGGAGGCCGACGATGACCAGCTTAGGAAGATAGAACGTCAGACACTTCCTCTCTCCCTGAGACAGGAACCAGAACAATCTGGGATTAGACAATGGACACCAGACTGGTTTTGGGTTCCAATACTAAAATATAGAGTTTGGTTAAAGATGAATGTGAGACCCACCTGGACCCGGATGCCGTGGTAAACACAGAGCCAGAAGAGCAGCAGGGAACACAGGAAGAGGGCCTGGAAGAACGCATCCAGAGTCCTCGGAAACCAGCTGTTAACCAGGAATGACAGCGGGAAAAATGGATCTGAAACAAGAACCCCAACCATCAAAACAGATAAAAAACCTCAAAGACCTAAAGACTGTAGTGTATATGGGTTTTAACATCAAGGTTAGGCCTTCATATGGGTACATTCAAACATATTACAGTTTAAATATCAAGGCCTGGTGCACAGTGGAAGGCACAAAGGAAAGAGTGGTAAACAACTCAGTGACTCACCGTTATACAGCAGTAGTAGAGGCAGCAGGATGGACATCCACTTCTGCTCAATGCCCCAGTCTCTCATGGAGAACTTCCTCAGAGAGTGAGCAAACATGCACTGCAATACACAACAGCAAAGACTAACATACAAAGACAAACATACACTGCAGAAACACAATAAATATGGATTAAATTGCATAGATCTCTTACCGTCACCATGAAGGTCAAAACCACAAAGACAAAACGGAACCAGATCTCCACTTGAGAGAACGAGGGATTATACATCTTCCACTGTGAGAGTGAAAGAGAGCGAGAGTGTGAAAGAGAGAGAGGGGAGAGAAACGTGTCATTGAACTGCAGTTCAAAGCCAATATGTGTCAGTAGGAAGAGATGCATCTTCAGAAACAGCCAGCTGACAGTTTAAACAGGTTTTCCAGCCAGTGTATTGTGCTTCTCACCATGAAGTTGACCTTGACTTCGTAGGTGATGTTCTCCAGGCCTTTGAAGCTGACATTGATCTGGTACTGTGTGTAATTCAGATAGCCCAGGTGCACCACGATAATCTCATCACACTTCTGCAGGAGGAAACAGTGGGACAGACACCTTGTTGGAATACGGATCTATATCACATAGCTTTCTAAATGTTCAGTTCATTGACCAATTGGTTGGTTGATAACTGATTGATGACTGACTAGTCAATTGGCTGACAAACTGGTTAACTGATTGATGAATGGACAGACTGATGTATTGATTGCCACTCACAGCACCACAGTGCAGCGTGCGTGATTTCTGGTGCACGTTGCTGCGGATGTGCATGACGCTGGCATCCTGCATAACTCCCTTCAGCTCCACATTGATCTCAAAGTGCTGCTGGAAGTCCACCACTGAACAGAGACAAAGACAAAAAAACGTAATAAGACTTTCATATGTCGTATGGATCTTTAAAGTAAAACTACCATAATTTCTAAGGGAGTAGATCTCACCAGTGCTGTGTTCCACTTGCATCATACAGGTGAGCCATAGCTGTTGGTTATAGGTGGAGAGGGGCGGGGACTGCAGGATGAAGGGACCAGTCTGAAACCATATTAGATCCATATCAGAACCATACTGGCCCCCCGTGTAGCGCAGTTGGTAGAGCATGGCGTTTGCAACGCCAGGGTTGTGGGTTCGATTCCCACGGGGTCCAGCATGAAAAAATGTATGCACTCACTAACTAAGTCGCTCTGGATAAGAGAGTCTGCTAAATGACTAAAATGTAAAATGTAATACTCAGAACATCACAATGTCAAAGAGTGTACATCAAGGTGTGTCCAGGACTCGTGGGAGCTAAGTGTTGATTTTGGACTGTGCACTTTTTCTCCCATTTACTACCCCAGTCTCACAAATGTGTAAGCATCAGAGTGGTGCAGGTTTGTGCACTCATAAAAGCCATTTCTGACATAAAGCAAACAGTTCAAGCACATTCCCTGTGATCCTGGCAAGACATGTATTTATACCTTTGCTTGTCTTACCTTTATGGATTGATTTTTGGCCAGCAGTTCATCTCCACTGTATTTAGTCTCCGCAAGGATTTTAGGACCTGCAGAAGAATGAACGAGGTAAGCAAAAGGATTCTGCAACATCATTCTCCAGGCCTTCAGGACCAGGTCAGGACCAGACCAAGTTCCTGCACAAATAGTAATTCCTGCACAAACAGGCTAGTCACGCCTATAGGCAAAACTAAGTCCTTAGTCTTCTCGACTAGATCCCTTTCCTACAGCAAATCCATCATTGTGCAGACACAGCATTTACTACATTCTTTTCACTTTAGGGAAATGGTGTAATATTACCAATAAGGATCTTTCTAGTAAGGCTTTAAGAGAGAGAGAGAGAGAAGAGGGTGGACTTATCAGGATTTCCTTGCAGATAAAACTTCAGCCATTAGACGCCAGTCATCACCCTCTGATTATGTTGGCTGGCTGCTGCATTCCTCATTCACCCTAGCTAGCCTTTCTGGCTCACTGTTTCCTAGTAGTAATATAGACTTGGGCCAACTGCGGATATACTAAGAGTGTGCACATTGATAGACTATATGAAAACTACATACCTGCTATACCAATGAAGACGGTGAGGCCAAAACAGATCAAGAACACCACAAAGACCAAAACAAAGTGTCTTTTGGAGAGTGTGTATAGCCGCATGGGGGCTAGCCTGAAATTGAGAGAGAATACCATGTTACAATCAGTTTCCTGCAAACACAATCTCAGAGTCCTATCTATGGGATGAACATTTCTTGATTTGAAGACCATTGCTCAAGACATTTTAAGAAACTGTCATAATAAGATGCAAACATAATGCAACTCAGTAATTTAGGCTAGTTTAGGTAGCGTGAGAGGCTTATTATTTGGCCCGTTATAAGTTACACAACATCAGATTTTGGTAACGTTAGATAAGAAATTAGTCACATTAGATATGTGTTAATATATTGCTTAGTAACACACACCGGTACCAGAATGTAAGACAGACGAAAAAACACCTGCCAACAAAAATACGGTGGCGTGCAAACTAGTTAGTTAACGTGTAAAATAGGTGTATCTGTCAAGTAGGTGGAACCCGTTGCAAGCAGACGACTGGCAGAAACTAACGTTTCGAGATTAAAATGTACGATATGAAGGGGAAACAATAAAACTAAGTTGTAGATAGTCTTAAACATGTGAACTTACACATCCATTTCGGTAGATTCTCACTCTAGAATCGAGATAAAATCAAAATGTCCAGGTAAAATCCACATCCGTATACATCAGTCTGTATGCGACAACCGGAATGCTACGTCACCACTGGATGTCGCGGGGCTGAAGTCACGTGGGGACAGGGGAGTAGGAGGAGCATTTTATTGTAGCTCAGTGGGAGGGAGTGGGTTTGGTTGTTGCAAGCGCATCTGTCAGATTTTCATCCCCATTTCAACTCTAATGAAAAACGTGATTTCAATTGTGCCTGTATACAACAAGACCCATCATGCATTCAAACCAACGATGTATATAAATCCTGGATTGCTGATGCTATGTTTTGGCCATTGAGAGCTTTGAAGCCATGGCCAGCCATATTGGCACTCCCCAGTAGAAGCAGTCCTCCATAGGAATGAATGGAATTCTACAGTATTTCAATAAAATGTTTCAAGGACAAAATTACCTGTATTTAAAAATGACAGAAACATTAGTAATGTCAAAAAAGTATACTTTAAGGAAAATGTTTTTATATATTTTGTCTTTTTTTTTTTTATGTATAATTTAAAAATATACATGAAGGTGTCTGTAATATAATACATGTGGCAAAAACGAATGTAGACATTAATAAATGCATTTCTATAACGTCCTCAATCTTTTTACAATGGTGGGGGAGTGCCAAGATGGAGGCACAGTGGCTTCAACACAGCGCACTCTATTAGTGATCTAGTGTATATATAAATAATGTATCCAAATTGACTGTGCTAATCTGCAGAGATGAAATATGATGATTGCACCCTGTATGGTAGCAGAGATACTTTTGAGGAGATGGGAAACTCCATTAAAATCGTATTAACACCGTGTACGTTGCCCACGCGTCGCAATGGGCCGCGCGGTGCATTCTGGGCTGTTTTGGACAAGGATAGCTCTCCTTCAAGGAGTGAATGAGAGTCAATTGGGCGCTAGCTCAAAAACCCAACATTAGCATGAATTTCGTGAAGAAGTACAATATTACAAATCTTTTCCGAGATGTAAGATAACTAACATTTTCTCTGTAATATCGTATAGCTTTGGAATCGTGACATTACGTACTTTCGAGGAAAATAGTCAGGTTTCTCGACTCATACCCTGACTTTGAGAAGGGATTGCGTGACGATTATTTTAGCAACCGCGTGACACATCATGACAACGTGAACGCGATTGGTCGACAGTCTGCTGGGTGGGGCGTTAAACAGTCCTCCGTTCAAAGCCCAATGGGATTTCTATCTCCTCCTTTCTCTAATATCTCTGTTGGTAGGCTATTTTGCCAAACCTCTGATTTGGGTTGTAATCCTTACTCAAAACAGTTGCAAAACGTTCTGTTTTGCAATGAAAACTAGCGTTTCTATTGGAAAGATTAATGTAGGTCCCGCCCTGTTTGCTGAATTTGTCCAATAGAAACGCTAGTTTTCGTTCCATTTTGCAACTGTTTGGAGTAATGATTACACCCCAACACTTGTTGCCTTCACTCAGTGGCCTCTGCCTATAGCATATAGGCTTCTGCCATAATGACCTTAAAATGATTAAGGTAATTTATTAAGAATGTTTTAGTTTTATTGTATTCTCAGCAGAAATAACACAGCATTTTTGAGACGAAGAAGGTAGCCTATAGGAACACATTCTATTTGACTTAAGATCCTATAAAACCGAAAGATAAATGAAAAGCTTATCTAAACCTGCAAAACACGGAACTGTCCAAAGAAAACCAGTGGATGCTTTATAGCGCACCTAAACCACAATGCGCCATGTTGAGGGTGGTGCATGGCTGCAGCTGTATATTCTGTACAGAAGGCTACATCCATATTGTAAATACACATTGACAAATGTTATTAATCGTATCATTCTTTTAATACCTACATGAAAATCATAAATGCACTCAATAGGCCTAATGTATGCTCACAAATGCTTGTTCATTGTAGAGTAATGATTTAATTAACACAAAGATCCAGCAATTGGATAATTTAATATTGGTGTAGTGACCTTATAATTTACCTGTAAAAACGATCGTCGCGGTAAGGTGTCAGGTCTTCCTTTAGTTCGTTATAGGCCTCCTGTATCTTCTTACAGAAATATTTCAGTTCGCTGTACAGAGGGTTTTCGAAGGCAGAGTAGTCGGTGTCCATCGTGCCGGTGTCCGAGGGTCTGAAAATGGCGATGGGAAATAATCCGCAGCCTTTACAAAACAACGCCGGTGTCTCTCTTTTGTGTTCCCTCTGTTAATTGAAACTGCAGGCAAAGCTTTTTTGTTTGTGCAGGTCTAAAGAAAAAACACAAAAAAAGAGGGGGCGGAAGCGCACATACAAATACAACGGTGAGAATCACGTGACATAATTCAGCACCTTGGATAGAGGCAAGCGACAGTGATTGAAGATCTGCACGGATACCAGGTTTACTACATTCAGAGGAAACAATTTTCGATGGGACTTTTAATGTGCCCAACATACACTTTCTTTTAGAGGGCTACTGCTACTAGGAATTACAATTTTAGCTTTATAACACATAGTAAAGTTGATCATTGTTAAATAGAATTCGTAGGCTTATAGAAGAAACCTGTGCAAGGATATAAAGACGTCGTACATTTTTCATTATGAAACACTTAGGGTTCCCACAGGGTTCCAAGGCACTCCGAAGTGCTTGAACGATAAAATATCTGACTAGACACAACTTTCTTTCTGAAACAATTACATTTTATTCAAAAGATGCGTGACATATACAATTGTAAAATAATTAACATGGCATGCCTTACTACCGTTCACTATAAACATTCAGTCACCAAATCACTCAGATTTTTTCAAGTTTTTTTCTCATATATGTCTACAACTACATGTACAAAGCACATTTCTGATCAAACACAAAGCCAAATCCTACAATGTCTACTACAGGTTCACCAAATTAATTAATTGAGAATCCTAAACCAGTGTCCACGGGAGATTTGATCATGTTTTCAGTGGCTTACCCAAATGTTCATGTCGTGGACTGATGTGTGAGTTGTATTGAGATAATACGCAATCAAAATTGACCAGTCAGTCAACAACATGAACATGTAGATTTATATTGCATGGTGAGAATGAAATAAAAATAAACGCTTAACGGAGTGAAAAAGGTTTAGCTTTCTCGAGGGGGAGAATTGGTGGAAATACACACACTGAAGAAGTTAACATAGATAACACTTATGGGATCGGTTGACCTCACAATTGAACACAGACATACTTGACAGATACTTCCTTAATGACTACTACCAACTACACTCAAGGACAGGGCACTTATTCAGATCTTCTCCCATCCACTGCAAACTTCACAGAACAGACTGAAAAGTTGCCTCTGCCCAGCTTGCCCCCCTCCCCCTCCCCCTCCCCCTCCCCTCCCATGATCTGACAAATAGGCTACACCAGTAACAAACCCCTTTCAACAGAAAGAAATATTCAGCAAAGTCAACAAGTTATGTACAGCCTTCAGCTTAAGAAAACAATCTCAAATAAAATGTACAGACCAGCAAAAAGAAATTTAATTTCATAGTTTCCCCACACTACTAGTGTGAAAGTGAAGGGTTGTCAAACAGTGTTGGTGAGGGGAGAACCTTTCTTTAGAAAATATTGCACAACAAAATTGTCTGTTAACACAAAATGAACATTGATGGATATTTTTAAGTAATGCTATTTTCTTTAAATCAAGTCTATCTTAATCCCACCCCAACCAACAACTATCACATACAGCTCAGAGGAAGAAAGAAAAATCTAATCAAATCTAATAATCTCATTGCTGTCAAGACCATGATGTGTGTGTGGATCTGCTTTGGAGTGATCGCTCTCTCTGTCACACACATGATCTAGGCCCCTTTGTATTAATCTTCCAAATGTAGTAATTCCATCTTTTGGCACGCACGTTTTGAAGTGATCCTAACCATCCATCAATTAGATATTTTTCCAATGATACGTTTGAAAATGAGTAGTGTGGATGATGTTAACAGGTATCTTACCACACTTAAGTCCGCAAACACTTGAAGTGTCTATCTGCTTTTGCTCCAGCATCCTTCCCCTGCAGACTGTTCACAGGTCAGAGACCCCAAGCCTGGCTGTCTAAAAAAAACTAGTCCGCTTAAAAGATTGCAGGTTCAGCTTGCCAAGTTTTAACAAGTTAAGATAGCTTTCTCCTTAATTGAGGTTGACTTCAAAGACTGAAAGAATAGAAACATGTCAGGTTTCTCAGTGATTGTAGTGTATTTCTATAGCTATCCTCCATAATGTTGAACCTACACAGTTGGCTACGATGAAAACAGCTGTTCGTCCAACTCCACCAGATCATTTTACAATATTTATGACTGATATGTGGCAAATATTTACAAGACTTAAAAATAATAATAATAATAATTATGAAATGGCATAGGTGAAATATACAAAAATATTTCCTGTACCTTGCTTACTTGTTTAGTGTGGGCTTAAGGGTAGGACACGCCTACATGCTGACGCTCACTTCACAGAAGTGACAGCAGGTGACAAATCACTTCATGTCAGGGAAACAAAAGTCAGAGTTCAGATTGGTGAACTCTTACCTCTAGGATCTTTGTTTGCGTCCCCATCAACATGTCACCATGATAAAAATGGGAGATACAGGATAACGGTCACAACTATTCTGTAAAACCGTTTTAAAACACACCGATTTTGTAGTGTACAGAACAGTATTTCAATTAAGTCTCTGTCTCTCCCAAATAAAGCAGACATCTTGAAATACATGTAAACAAGGTACTAAGATTGTATAATAAGAACATGAATACAAAGAACAATTACAATGTTAAAATTCATATCTGAATACTGTATGACCTATTCGTAACAAGAGGAAAAACAAATGCAGAGATACATTAAACCATATGAGTTACATCATCTTTTCTTCCTTCAAATTCCAAGGACTGCCGTTCAGCTTACATCTTTTTTCCCCCTTACCTCTCCAAAGTTCATGACAACAGGGAAATCAGACAACTTGCGCATTTGCGTGTGCTAGTGCTCCAACAATACAATGCATTTATTGAAACCTCAAATCCAGCCAAGATAGATTTGGATTGTAACAAAACACATGGCAGATAACTAAAAAATAACATTTCAAAAGCCAAGAACATTTTTATCTTCAGGTGTAAAAACCTAAAAGCCAAAGCAGTGTTATTAAGTGATGATAACGGTTTCACTTAAGTTTCATACAGCAACGGATTTCAGTGCCCAGTAGTACCTGTACGCTCTGGAAAGAAAAAAACGACATCTTCAATCTTCCAGATAGTTTTTTCAAGTATTACTGCTGCTCCTTTTTAAAACTGCAGAGAGAACGACTCATCTCTCATAACCATACCGACAGAAAACCCAAACCATTTTAAGGTTGTGAGATAAGTCTTTCCACTAGCTAGCTTCCATTAGCTAAAGCAGCATTTATTTGCATGACGACTACAGAAAGCTGAGCTCTTGGGCCATGTAAGCAGTACAGGGGACCGCTGACAGTGCCAAGGCAGACTATGGCCCTGCTCCAATGCCTGCAGCCCATGCTTATTGCACCCTCTGGTGGCCACATTGGGCAGTGCAGCACCACAGTGTCTCGTTTTCTCGCTTGCGATGCGATTTGCAAACAGAGTTGATTTCAGTCTCTTCTCCAATATTAAAGTAACTTCAAATTAAATAATCTTCCAGCAGATGGTTCGATCCACGCTAGGATTCAGTGTAAGTGGAGGGTGGGACCTCATTTGAGGCGTTGAGTGACATTAGCTAGAGCCACTGCGAAGGCTTGAACAGCAGAGAACGGGTACTGGAAGTCCAGGATGTAGGCGTTGCCGTCAATCCTGCCAAACTGCATCACCTGGTCACAAATGCAAACAAACACACAGTTAGAGAAAATAGACAGGAAGCTAACAAACACAACATTTCAGATTGTCATGAGTCTCTGAGCTATTTCCCTATTGAATGCTGAATTATATTTATATTTGTTCCATTTCATATTCTTACAAGCGAATGGATTCACTCTTCTACATTCCTACACTATCTATACCAAACTTCCCATCTATGTGTGAAAACTACATCTGAAGCCACCTCACCTGTCTCCCCTCCAGTTCGATCTGGAAGTTCTTGGCCGACTCCTGTGTGACACGTCCCCCAAAGTCCAGCTGGTAGACCTGAGTGGCCTCATTCCACAGTGGCTGCTTGTTGGCCATGACATAGACAAAGCCCTGGCTTCCCAGCCCGCGGTCCTCCTTCTCGTTGGCCTTGCGGCACTTGATCTCCTCCAGCTCGCTGGCCACCCGCAGGCTCCTCTTGCTCTTCCAGCCCTTCTTGCCGCTCTGGCACTGGTTGAGCAGCTCGTCCCCACTGATGAAGAGCTCAGGTTCACTCTCTGAGCTGTCCTGGAACTCACTGTTTGTGGGAGCCTTGCTCAGCTTCTTAGCCTTTAGCTGCTGCTCCTTCTGGCCTTTGGGCTTCTTCTTGTCCCTGCCGCTCAGCCGCGGGCTGGAGATCAGAGAGTTGAAGTCGCCCAGGGCCCGACCCTCCTTCTTGGACTTGCCTCCCTCGGCGATGGCCGGTGCATTGGCCTCCTCAACCCTGCCATCGGCCCGCTTGCGGTTCTTCTTGCCGAACTTGTCAGCGCTGCTGGGCACGGGGCTCTCATTGAGGGAGAGGACCTCCTGGAAGCCCTCTCCGGCCTCCATGGCCATGGCCTCTGGGGAGCCACCGTGACCCTGCAGCTGCATCTCTGCTGGGGGAGGGGGAGGTGGTGGGGGAGGAGGGGGAGAGAGGACTGACTTGTCCACCATCATCTGAGAGAGCTTGGCGGGCATGGGGGGCAGCGTCCCCGAAGGGCTGGGCATGGGGGGGCAGGGATTGTAGGTGCCCCAGGGAGTGTGTAGGGCAATGGGGGGGATGGGGAGCCCGGCACAGGAGCTACCCCCCGGGTACATTGGAGGGAGGGGGCAGCAGGCCAGGTTAGACAGGTTGGCTGGATAGCCAGGTGGAAGGACCAGGGTGGCATCCTGCTGGGAGAAGGGGACCGGGGCCACCACCTCCTTAGGGGAGCAAAGCCGGGGAGAGCCTGGCATGGGCTGCTGCTGGGGCCCACTGTAGGTTGTGCCAGGAGCGTACTGGAGGGAGATCTGGTAACCTGCAGCTGCAGCGGCGGCCTGGAAAGAGGCAGCACTGGGGCTGGTGGGGGACTTGGGGGAGAGGACGAAAGGCAGCCGGGAGAGGTCGAGGTGCTGGGCCGGGCTGAGGATGAGCGGGGGTGGTTTGTGGGTGCCGGGGGGGGCAGCAGAGCTCAGAGTACCAGTCCGTTCCTGGGGCACCCACACCTCCTCAGTGGCGGCTGGGTCCCACTGGTACGGCGGAGGCCTCTTGACTGTCAGTCCAGACACATCTGCACCCCCTAGCGCCAGATGCCTCAATGACTGACTCAGTGCTTCATCCTCTGTGAAGGCAGAGTTCACATAGTCAGCCCTGTCTCTGTTCCCACCTCCTCCTCCATTCCCAGAGCCATCCAGGCTCAGCAGGTTGTAGGAGGAATGAGAGGCTAAGGGAGAGGCGCTGTTGGAGTGGACGATCACCGTGCTGTGAGGAGCTCCATTCCCCAGAGGGAAATCCTGTTTAATGATTGTACCTTCTGCGATTCCATTCGCAGTTCCACTGGGAGCACTGCTGGCTGCACTGCTAAGCGAACTGCTGTTACTACTGCACTGACTGCAGGTGTACAGGGCTGTGGGCACCCTCTGCTGGTAGGAAGCCGCCAGTGCAGCGTTTTGGGATTTGGCTTTGGGGGGCAGGGTCCTCTGAGGGTCCAGCATCTGGGAGACTTTGAGAGCGGCCTCTCGGCTGTTCCGTCTGAGTGTGGCGTGGATCAGACTGCTGTCCAGCCTCTGTCCGGGGCTCCTCCCCCCTGTGGTGTTCTGATTGGCTGTGTCGGGGTAGGGGGGCGGATCTCCGCTGGGTATGGAATAGCGGGGAACGGTGAGCCTGTTGAGGGTTGCTGAGGCGTAGGGCAGTTGGATCTTCTTCCCGTCCGATGAGGAAGAGGAGGAAGAAGAGGAGGTAACCCGGAGGGTGGCTGAGCTTCCCGGGACCTGGAGCGTGTAGATGTTCTGGTTGCAGACGAGCCGCGTTCGAGGCCGGCACACCTCTTCCACGTTACCCCTGCTGTCGAATGTAGTTATCCGCTCGTAGCCTAGCGGCGTTGGGTACTGTGCCGCCTGCTGGCCAGGAGGATACAGGGAGAACTCACCCTTCTTCAGGCACAGGTCCACTGGCGGCGGGGTGCCGTTACTGCCCCCAGCCTGTCCAGAGGCTGCAGCTGCAGCAGCAGCCACCGTCCCGGGGTAGGGGGGTGGGGGGTTCATCTTGCTGAGCTCCAGAGGGGCACTGAACACCACCGTGTCCCCCTCAGCCAGCTGGGGGGCAGAGCGGGTGGGTTTGATCTTCAGCAGGTGCTCATTTTCTACACTGACCCTTCTCTCAGCCACCAGCCCCCCTGCAGGGTGGGGGATCTGGATCTGGAGCGCGCCCTGTTGGAGCTGGTGCACCGTTGCACCTGACACCTGAGAGGGGACAGGGATCTGGAGCTGATGCTGCATCTGATGGTGTTGTTGCTGTTGTATCTGCTGCTGTTGCTGCATCTGATGGTGCTGCTGATGCTGTTGCTGTTGTTGTTGCTGTTGCATATGCTGCTGTATCTGTTGCTGCTGTAACTGCTGCTGGAGCTGTTGTTGGTGCTGGAGCTGTTGTTGGTGTTGTTGTTGGATCTGCTGCTGCTGTTGCTGCATGTGCTGGATCTGCTGTTGAATGTGTTGCTGCTGCTGGTGGATCTGCTGCTGCTGCATCTGTTGGTGTTGCAGCATCTGCTGCTGCTGGATCTGCTGTTGATGTTGCTGTGCCAGTTGCTGTTGGTGATGTTGCTGCGCTAGTCGTTGTTGCTGTTGTTGTAGCTGTTGATGGTGGTGCTGTAGCTGTTGTTGTTGTTGATGCTGAATTTGTTGTTGCTGATGATGTTGCTGCTGCGGTTGTTGTTGATGGCTTTGTTGTTGTTGTTGTTGTTGTTGTTGTTGGTGGTGGTGATGAGAGGAAGGAGGCCCAACCAGAAGCCGGCTCATCTCCAGCCCTCCAAAGATGACCTGTCCAGGACTTGAGTACCTGCTGGGAACCGTGTACTGGGCGGTCAGGATGGTGTCCTGGCCCTGGTCAGACGACCCCCCCGCCCCTGCAGCAGCCACGGAGGAGATGGCCGTGGGATTGGATAGGACGTCCAGCTGGACGTTCTGATTGGCTAGGAGGGACTGGACCAGGCCGATGCTCTGGGTGGGGGACATAGCCTGGGCAGGGCTGTGGATGGGGGCAATGGGGATGTTGACGGTGCAGGGAGGGTTGTCGTCGGCCACGCCGGAGGCCCCGGTGACGGGCAGGTCATCCTCGTCCTCACTGAAGACGTTGGGGCTGAACACGGGCAGGTTGATGTAGTCCATGGAGATCTTACGCACCTCCGGCAGGTAGATGGTCATCTGTCTGGGCTGCAGGTGGAGCAGACTCGTCTTGTAGATCACTGAGAGAGAGAGAGAGAGAGAGAGAGAAGTGGGGGTAAAAGGGGGAAAATAGGAGACAAAAGAAAGAGGGGAGAAGGAATACGGTTATTACATAAATTGGAACCATAGTTAAAAAGGTATTTTAATTTCCCTCAGAAGTAACTGATTGGTAGTTACCTGCACCAAGATTGGTTGGCAAGAAGGTGGCAAGTCCCACAATCTTAAACTTTGTTCCCCAAATGTTGGATGTGACCTGAGCAAGGTAGTTATGCTGCAAAAGACAAAAACCACAAACAAATCAGTACTTCTTCAAATCCCTCAAATGTATGATGATAGGACAGAAAGGAAATCAGAATGAGGTCCATTACCTGTGTGATGTCATCTAAGGGGAACTCTCTGCGGGTGAGACTTGGGGATCCAATGGACGGCTTCCGGATGGGTAACCGTGGCGACCGCGAGATCTCCTGCGTAGCGCGGGACAGTTTGGGGGACTTCCTGGGGTCAATATTGATCCTGTTGGTAAAGGGACAGACTAAGTCTCTACAGAGAAGGTAGCACATGAAATAGAAAGGTTTAGGCATGCAGTGAAACAAATGAAACAAAACAGTGCATAATATTCAAGCAGCATTAGTAGACAAAAATGTGGCAGCTTAGTCAGTACTTTGTAGGTCCAAACAAAACATTTGGGTTTCATTGTGAACTCCAAATAATAGAATCGTCCCAAAATAGTAAGTACAACAATTAATCTAAATCAAAACACATGCTTGTTATTCATTAATAATAGTTTTATACTGAGTGCAGTATAAAGGCTGTTTATTACCTGGTAAGTTTGGGAGACTTGCTGCCTCTGGATATCTTTGGGGATTTCTTGCCGACCCAGTCGTCACTCAGCTCTATATCACTGGAGTCTGAACAGTTACAGCTGTCTATCATCGACGAGATCAGACTGTTCCCATACACCTCATCTAGAAGGAGAGAGGGAAACAGGGGATGGGAGAAAGAAAGATGAGGGTAATACAATGAAGGTGGTGTGATGGGGAAATGATGGGTGTCTGTCTACTACTCTATCAATAATATCGTCAGGGTGATCATTCATTAAGTGTCACTGACTCATGGGGCACTACAGTATATCTCTGCATATGGGGATATAAGTCAAACTGACATTGATCAACAGTGATATGTATCCATCCTAACCACTGTGACTTTACCAACCTTTATTTATTTTATCACAACACATACATATCCCCAGTGTTAACAGCAGGGGGCACACTTCCTTCACCTCTTCTAAGTCATGCAATGAACGAACTGACATTAAATCATATCCAATTTCAGACGCACACACTCACTAACACTAACTTTTCAACTTATTTAGTCCCCCAAACTATCGTTTCCAAAAAACTTTTCTCATTCATATGGGGCCCCTGAACCGCGACTGCTCCAGTTTAGGTCAAGATAATTTACTTTATCGGCATTTAAGTGTGAATGGGCTGCATACATTTCATGGCTGGATTCATTTATCACAGGAGAGGGCAGTGGAGAGGGAGGGGAGGGAGGTGATTTATGGTAGATCCCAGAGGCCATTAAGCAGTTAACATGGGCCCAGTCTGCTCTGTACTGTGGCTGGCTGGCTGTGTGACTATTAACACTGAGAACACTCACTCTCTCAATGCCAACCAACACTGTCTGGAACTTCTTCACCACAAGTTAGTCCTACATGTTATATGAATGGAAAAGTACCAGAGGAGCAGGGAAGGAGGCTCTGGCTGGGCAGCAGACTTTGACAAATAATATTTTAGTAACTAACGGTTATTAACAAGAAGAAGACACTGACTTCACACTTTTCAAGTAAAAAGCAGTCATACAAGATGCTGAACCAGCTCCCAAAGCAACAGAATCTTCTAGAAGGCCTTGTTAGAACAGTCATAAGGGAGCAGGATTTCAATGTGACATTTTCAAAACAAGCACCATCAACACTTTCAAACCACCTCACACAGCATCTCCAGTATAACCTCACCTGCTTTGCCGTCCGTCTTGGGGTCCATGATCACGAACTCGGGACGGAGCTTGCTGATGCGTCGGCCCTTGAGGATGGGCACCAAGCCCCCCAGGTATTCCAGGTAGAGGGTGTAACAGGGCCCGCCCACCTCAGGGTTGTCCTCCGTACGCTTCATGGTGCAGTGCAAACGCTCGTTCCCCGCCGTCGGGTAACTCACAAAGTCACGCATATTGTTGGGGTCCGGAATGGGGGGCTAGAGGTGGAGAGAGGATGATGAGCATTCTGGCACAAAGCGGCGACTCCTGGTGCTGACTCAAGTCAAGTAGCAATTTTATCCCTTGTTCAACTCTTTTTCAACCCCCTATCTTACCCTGGAAACTGAATGTCAGTTTGTATAACCAGAACCCTCAACCTCCCCTTTCCATAGAGTAGCACATCCTCACCCTCCCAGACATACATCCATACGGTATGTGACATCCCCTAACCCCTGTACCTTGATGGTGGGTGCGAAGGCTGTGGTGACGTAAGAGCAGAGACGAGAGGGCATGGTGAGCTTTGCCACGTCCTTCTCCTCCCGGAGCGCCCCGGCGATGCCCTGCTGGCACAGCAGCTGCAGGCTGGCCACCCGGTGCTCCACCCGCACCACGTAGAGCACCGCGCCGCACGCCAAGAACAGACGAGAGTCCCGGTGACCCCAGCACAGCGTGGTGATGGGACGCTGGAGAGAACGGGGATGGTGATTATTCTATGGAACTTATAGCATATGATGTGACTTCTCAATAGTATGTTTACCAATGTAAGGTGTTGTGTGTGTATGTGTGTGTGTGTAGTACTGAAGATGTGTTGTGGATGCTGGAGTGTGTGTCTAAGTGTGTGTGTGTGTGTGTGTGTGTGTTATTACCTGTGCAGGCGTGTCCAGTGTGTAGATGTGCTCTCCGCAGACGTTGTAGAACTTGACGATAGCGTTTCTGGTGGGAGGTAGACAGGAGGAGTCGGAGGGCAGGACAGCTCTCTCCATCCCAGCCACGGCCAGGAGATCACCCTGAGAACACCACTGGACCACTACATCTACCACACACCGAGAAGAGGAGAGAGGGTGAGCATACATACACAGTTTACACACACACGCACAAACCACTTACCCTTAAGAACACCACTGACCAATGTGTGTGATATAGGCCTAGACAGCAGAAGAGAGTGGGAATCAGGGGTTTTTTCGGATCGTCTAAATCCAAACAGTGCCAAAAAATAAAATAATAACGGGATGGAAAAACACTTTCCGTGTAACTTAACCAAAACAACTCAAACCAGATATAAAGTATGTAGAAAAAATAATGGAGCTATATCTTATTTTATTATATCATCTTTGAGAACTAACAATCACCAAAATAAAAATGTATAAGTCGCTCTGGATAAGAGCGTCTGCTAAATGACGTAAATGTAAATGTAAAAGTCTGGGAGAATTTCGCAATATAGATTTTGTTATCATGTTTGAGCAAAAGAACACAGCATTAGCCATGGCAAAATGCATAGAATTGCAGGAAATTTGCTTTAAAAAGGCACAAAAGTCTCTACACCGCCAAGATGGGGGCCTCAAATTCTAAAGAATTCAGCCCCTCCGACGGGCCGACCGTGCCCCTGCCACGCCCACCACCTAAGCCCATTTTTGATCCAGAAAAAACCCTGGGAATACACAGACCGTCCCCCCATCCCCAAAAGGAGTGAGAGAGAGGACTAAACACACAAATACAAACCAAGGCTATTATAGTAAACTAAAACTAATCATGAAAAAACTATTTAGTCAACTGAAATAAAATAATTAAAGATGCACTACGCAGAAATCGCTCCACCATTTCCTGGTTGCTAAAATTTGTAATAATTCGCCTAATTTCAGTTTATGTGACAAAACAAGCAAGTATAGTGTAGAGAATCATTGTAACATCTAAAACTCAGTGAAATATATTTTCCATAAGCAAAAATATTGTATTTTCAGCTGTTTGAAGCTTGTGTACAAAACCGAAAGTAAAAGATGCAAAAATGAAACTTAAGAACGGGAAGCATAGAAATAACGCTTTCAATGACTTGCTTTCAATGAGAATGACAGATCTATAACGCACATTTCTATGTGAATTTGGTCAAATATTGCCGCTTTAACAAACCAGTTTGAAAAACTACAACTTTAATGAAGCTATCTTTGACTCCAAAACAATAAATACCATCATGAATTACGTTCAGTTGTAGTTTCCTTTCTAAACTTTGGGCAAAAATCAAGTGGGGTTTTCAAGCTTTTGGACGGTTTTCAAGCTACTGAATCTGGCGGGTAAATGCTGCCAGGATATGGCCATGTTTCAAATAGGCCTAGTTTGTGCATGATTCTTCTTACATGTCCTACTGAGGTGAAAAGGCATTGGATTGGTATAAACATGAGCAAGTTTCCTTCCACCATATTTTTTGTACCAGTCTCAGCGCAGTCACATTGAGATTGACTTTATAATTTAAAGGGCCCGCCACTGTTTCGGTAAAAAGCTGAGGGATGGGGCTGGAGAAATGTAACCACTTAAAATTCATAGACAGAGCTATGGATGCAAGGACTGACCATCCATGATCAAAATGATAGTTTTAACCATGTTTTGAGGAGTTAGTGTTTACGTTTACTTTGTTTACAAACATTGGAGTAAAACAAGCTTATATTTTGGGTTCTGATGGGGAACAACAGTTGAAACTACGCTCATGAGGCATTTATAAGTTATAGTCTTCAATGGATGTAGCAACTGCTGACTGCCCCTTTAAACCTAACCTATGACCTGACCCATCATCACCTTATGTATTGCTGCCCCCCAGATATCCCCCCCGAAAATACTATATAAACTATACAACACAAATAGCTCATAGCCTGGCCCACGCATGCTTTCTCTCCCTAACACGAAATCTGAAACGTAATAATATAAAAACGAAATATAAATACTTTTAACCAACTGAAACTAAATACAAACTAGCAAATCAGGTCTGAAAACTAAATGAAACTAAACTGAAAAAAATCTAAAAACTAATAGAAATAAAAACAAATAAATATTTTTTAAAAAACTATAATAACCTTGATACAAACACACATACCCTTGAGGCCAGTGCGGATGAGAGTGGGAGAGAGGTCATCATAGTTGTTCATCAGGCTGATGTCTCCAGAGGTGAAGCTGACCGTCAGCAGAGGCTTCAAACGTTGCACTGCGGAGACAAAGACCCCAACAAGACCAGGTCAGAGAGAGAGATATACCACAACACAACCACAGAAACAAAGAGACCGAAACACAACCAGATAAAGACAGAGAGGGAGGTCAACAGAGCGATACAAAACCAGGTCAACCATGATCCTATTCTGATTCTATTTCAGAGAGACTGACATTCCGACTACGAGAAATTGCTCTTTCTTATATTTTCAGGGATTCAGACCATATGCAAGCATTCCCTGTATTATACGTTGATAACGTCTTAGCAACCACGTCAGAGGATGGGGTGATCAATATGCATTTCCAGTGGGCCATAAAATAGATTGAGAGTGAGGGACACCGTGTGTGTGTGTGTGTGTGTGTGTGTGTGTGTGTGTGTGTGTGTGTAATGGGGGAGGGGTAGTGGGACACAAGGACATTTCTGCATCTTTGGCAGCTGCTCCTAGTGATTCATCTTGGGGTAGTAATCTCTACTGTGTCCTATTCAGAAGCACAAAGACACCCATGCATCTCACCTTACTACCATCCGTCCACTCTCTCAGGGCTATAAATAACAGGCCTTCATAAAAACACAGCCACCGCTGCTTTGTACACCATGTAAATCTGGGGTGCCTCAAAGGGACTAGGGACGACTATCATGACCGTTCTGTATTAGTCCATGGTTTTATGTGAACATACGATCAGTGATGAAGGGCGAGGAGCTTTACCTAAACATGAGGAACTGATCACGTCACGTTGTCAGGAAAAAATGTCAAGGTTACATCCTACTCTTTGCATTGTGCTACGCTATGAAACTGACCTGGGCTGGATTTCCCAAAAGCATCATAGCACTAAAATCATCTTAATTCCATGAAACTAAGTGCTACGATGCTTCTGGGAAACCCAGTCCTGTCCTGTATTAAACAGTGTGTGATGTACTGGTTGTATTGTTTAGTTCTAAGCAACACTCCAGTGTCATGGTGTAGCAAATATCATGTCAAAGTAATCTTGGCAGTCAGACAGCAGCAGCAGAAGGCCTGGCATCTTCAACCAGCGTCTTGAGAGTCGTCCGCTAGCCTGCCCTTCCCGCCAGCCTGCTATGCCCGCAGATCATTTCTCAGCGCCAATCAATTACCAGCGACTTTTTTAATTAGTGAATTAGAGCATAATTACCGTTCCAGCTAAGGCAAGCACTTTTTAACTTTACTACACACCGACCGACCAGACTGTAAACACATCAAGGGGAGGCTGGCCCAGGCCCAGCCATCGATACAACCATAGCAACCAAAGAGATGCAATTAAGAAGAAAAAAAAACTGTGCACATAAAATGGAGGCCGTTATGTGAGCTGCTAATCATGCACATCACTCCCCAATGGGGCTGAGAGGTGTTCCACCAAAGAAATGCTTAGCAAACCAAAGACCAGGGGAGATGCAGCAAACAGACAGGTTTGTGTAACACAAGGGTATCTCTAACAAAGCCCTATTAAAGCAGTTACATCACATATCGGCCCCTTGGTTAAACTGGTAACCTTGTAGCTGTACAGTACTGCTTTCAGGTCATTGGAGGGATGAGGGGAGTTGGTGTAGACAAGAGACATAGAATTAGGGTAAAATGATGATTCAAATTGAAGCAATGTTTCCTCTGGAAAAGGTCACGGGGCTCCCGGATAATTTTTATGTAGAAGGACTTAGAAGCTCAGTTCTGGTGACTTTTAAAAAGGATATTCTACTCCAAATGAATGAAAATAAAATTATGCTGACACCATTTAAAATGATAATTTCCACCTCCAGAAATGAGCCCAATAACATAAACCACATTTCCATCCAACCCTTTAATGCGGATGAATAAACTGACGCATGAAAAAAGTCACGACCGGGCTGATGGAAACAGGAAATGCCGGTACAATTTTATAAATGCCGACAGACAATTTGTTTGTTCGACGTGGTGGGATCTTTTTGTCACGCAATGATTTGTTTGTGTGCAGTTTATTAGGCTACATATGAAATAAGTTATGATGAACTTCACAGGGTAGTAAATGTGCAAAGTGATGAGCTTGATGTGCCTTTCCAATAAATATCCAGGGTCTTATTCTGGGGACATGATGATCGATGCTTGCCTGCCGTTTGACAAATACAAATAATATCGCACTTATCCATAATAATCTCATAATGTAGGTAGCCTACCCGCACTGTATCTGCTAGCTGTTGGCTAGAGTGCATGTGCCAAGACCAGAGTGGGCACATTTGCTATATAAAGCAACAGCTTTTGTGACAAAAGTTATTTTTATGTGCACTACGTCATCACGCACAGCCATTTATCTGCAAAAAGTATGTTTGATGGAAACACATCCCTTGTGGGAAAATGCACATATTGTTTAAGCAGATTATCAAATATTTGCATCAAAATGTGTCGCATATTGGATGGAAACCTAGCTATATTGGTTACATTTTAAAATTATTTTAACATATTGGACCATGCATATAGCATACAGTGGGGAGAACAAGTATTTGATACACTGCCAATTTTGCAGGTTTTCCTACTTACAAAGCATGTAGAGGTCTGTAATTTTTATCATAGGTACACTTCAACTATGAGAGACGGAATCTAAAACAAAAATCCAGAAAATCACATTGTATGATTTTTAAGTAATTAATTTGCATTTTATTGCATGACATAAGTATTTGATACATCAGAAAAGCAGAACTTAATATTTGGTACAGAAACCTTTGTTTGCAGTTACAGAGATCATACGTTTCCTGTAGGTCTTGACCAGGTTTGCACACACTGCAGCAGGGATTTTGGCCCACTCCTCCATACAGACCTTCTTCAGATCCTTCAGGTTTCGGGGCTGTCGCTGGGCATTACGGACTTTCAGCTCCCTCCAAAGATTTCCTATTGGGTTCAGATCTGGAGACTGGCTAGGCCACTCCAGGACCTTGAGATGCTTCTTACGGAGCCACTCCTTAGTTGCCCTGGCTGTGTGTTTCGGGTCGTTGTCATGCTGGAAGACCCAGCCACGACCCATCTTCAATGCTCTTACTGAGGGAAGGAGGTTGTTGGCCAAGATCTCGCGATACATGGCCCCATCCATCCTCCCCTCAATACGGTGCAGTCGTCCTGTCCCCTTTGCAGAAAAGCATCCCCAAAGACTGATGTTTCCACCTCCATGCTTCACGGTTGGGATGGTGTTCTTGGTTGTACTCATCCTTCTTCTTCCTCCAAACACGGCGAATGGAGTTTAGACCAAAAAGCTCTATTTTTGTCTCATCAGACCACATGACCTTCTCCCATTCCTCCTCTGGATCATCCAGATGGTCATTGACAAACTTCAGACGGGCCTGGACATGCGCTGGCTTGAGCAGGGGGACCTTGCGTGTGCTGCAGGATTTTAATCCATGACGGCGTAGTGTGTTTCTAATGGTTTTCTTTGAGACTGTGGTCCCAGCTCTCTTCAGGTCATTGACTAGGTCCTGCCGTGTAGTTCTGGGCTGATCCCTCACCTTCCTCATGATCATTGATGCCCCACGAGGTGAGTTCTTGCATGGAGCCCCAGACCAAGGGTGATTGACCATCATCTTGAACTTCTTCCATTTTCTAATAATTGCGCCAACAGTTGTTGCCTTCTCACCAAGCTGCTTGCCTATTGTCCTGTAGCCCATCCCAGCCCTGTGCAGGTCTACAATTTTATCCCTGATGTCCTTACACAGCTCTCTGGTCTTGGCCATTGTGGAGAGGTTTGAGTCTGTTTGATTGAGTGTGTGGACAGGTGTCTTTTATACATGTAATGAGTTCAAACAGGTGCAGTTAATACAGGTAATGAGTGGAGAACAGGAGGGCTTCATAAAGAAAAACTAACAGGTCTGTGAGAGCCGGAATTCTTACTGGTTGGTAGGTGATCAAATACTTATGTCATGCAATAAAATGCAAATTAATTACTTAAAAATCATACAATGTGATTTTCTGGATTTTTGTTTTAGATTCCGTCTCTCATAGTTGAAGTGTACCTATGATAAAAATTACAGACCTCTACATGCTTTGTAAGTAGGAAAACCTGCAAAATTGGCAGTGTATCAAATACTTGTTCTCCCCACTGTATGTATGGTCCATACTATCAGGTATGCTATTAGCAATAAACATGATCACCTGTAGCCCAACTGATGCAGCATAGTGGCTATAAAGAAATAGGCTGAAGCATGGGGTTGTCTATTTTTGCATTTACCCTATTGGGCAAATCATTAGCTAGATCCTAAACGTTATATTTTAACTGGTTAGCATCCTATTGATGAATTTAATGTCCCAAAAAACACAGGGTAACATGCCCCATGCCAGTACTTCTCACAGAAACCACTTTCATGTCACAATTTCTTCCCACAACACTTTCCCTGGTTGCCGCTACTCTTGCTCAACAAAAAAATATAATCTGTTATGTCACAATTTAAGTCACTCAAAAAAAAAAGATTTTTAGGTAGGGTGGCATTTTACCCCAAGTTACCCTACAATTGACCCGTGTTACATTTAGCCCCACTCTCCCCTATGCACTCACAACTATTTGCAGAGCAGTAATGTGCTTAACCATGCTGCTGCTAAAAACACCGGGTTTAAAAAATGGTGCAGTTCGCACATATTTAGGAGTTGATTCATAAATAAAGTAGGAATGGAAAGATCTCCCTCTTTTTAACAAAGACCATTAAAACGGCTGTTTTCCCCCCCGATTGCAAGAATTGTTGTGCATTGACTGCTTGTCAGAATGCATGTTTCCCTCCTTATGGCACTCGTAACGTGAATGAGCCTCAAGAGGAATATTTATCTCGCATAGAACGCGCAACAAACCGACTAGGTAAACAGAAACTATTCTACTCTGGGGTAGTCTGATTTTTCTATTGATTACTCATTTTGTTTGCAGACGAAAAGTAAATGTGGACTGTTCTAGTATCTTCATAGTGCGCCTCGGCAGAAATATTATTTAATGTTGCATTTTTTTTTTTCACGTGGCGACAATGATTTTGCCGTGGCGCAGCGCCACATATAGATGACTGCAGTGAAAACTCTGAATTGAAGGTAACATTTAATTCTGTGTGACCTGAAAGCCATATGGTGGGGGTTATGTGTTTTGGAACTTCACTCAGAATTCCATTAGCTTTTGATAGGGCTGCACTGAGCCACCATTTTCCGTTGGCACGTGTACTGCAAAAACATTACATTTGGAACCATATTATCCATGAATCAGTTTCCATGACAAAGGCCCAGGCTGGCGGTCACTAGGGTGACGCACAACCAGGGGACCGGTGAGGTGTGACTTTGACTGTGACAGCTATACGCCACCGTCCCCAAAACCAAGTCAGCTATTAGGACTTCCTGTGACAAAATCAGCCCAATGTCACACACGTCCTCCCCACGTCCACTGTGTCCTCTACTCTCCTCTCCATGCTCCTTATTTTGCTCTATCCCTCCCTCCGCTCCTTCACACTCGTTTGTTTTTAGGGGCCCTTTGAGTCCCTGTCCCCTACTCCCCCACAGTCTGGGAGTGGATTGCTTTAATAGACTGAGTTCAGTGCAGTCCAATGATCACCTTCCCATTTCCGACCGTTAATTAGTTGGCCCACGGGGAGTTACAGAGCAGTATGCATGTGAAGTGAGCATCACAAATGACATGCATGTGATCAAATAATTACAAAGGTAAATTTTTGAAACTATGAAGCATTAGGGATCCAATGTCAAACTTTTCATACACGTTTCCTAAAATTGGATGTTTCGGTTGTATTGCATCAGGGTCACTTCTCTCAACCATACCCCGTTTTACCTTTCTTAAAACAAAACAGTGCATAGCAGGTCACTGGAGGAGAGATGTGAGGTAAAAATGTGAGAAAGAGAGGAGGAGGAAGAATTAGGGGAGAACAGATGGCCACACATCTGCTTTCATCTGCACAGAGGGAGGTACCGCAGGAGGGACAGGGCAGCTGGACCGAACGCTTCCCTGTAATTCTGCTCCCAACAGGCATCGTGTCTCATCATCAAACCTAAACCTATTACAGATTAAAATTGTATTCTATGACGGATTTAAACTCTCATGCTGTGTACTAGTATTTCTGTCCTGCTAGATTATAAGTAAAGCATAACCCTGATGAGGGGACAGGAAGACAACAGATTGAGAGTAGAGTGCCTGCTGTGACCCCAGGCTGCCTGTTACTGTAGCTTGCAGGGGGGCATAAACAGAAGATTCTGAGGGGAAGGGATCTGTACCTTTCAGGTTTGGGAAGGGGGGTGGACTGTACCTGTAAAGGTGTGTGGGTTAGGGCCTAAGGGGTGTAAACTGGGGCGTAGATTGGGTAAGGATTGTAAGAGTAGTGTACCTTGTGGTGGTGTGTAGTCGTCTGAGTCGGTGTCGCTCTCGCTGCTGTCCTCCACCAGGAAGCTGGGGTAGTTCCATGACATGCTGACAATGCCGTCTGACTCGTGCAGCAGGATGTGGGCCAGCATGCGCCCGTGGCAGTCCATCACAATCACCTGGCCATCCGCAGTACCAAACAACACCTGCATGGGGAGAGACATGACAACACAGTTACACACAACCAGGGAGGGACACCAACGGTTAAGTCATCTTGGTCCTAGAATCTAGAATAGAATACAACCTTTATTGTCCATACGTTACAGCGAACAATGGAAATGTGTCTAGGTCCTACAATCTAGAGTCTAGGATATTTGTGCAGCGCTAGAGAGAGATGATCAGCTAGAGAGACAGAAACACAAACTCGCCAACAAACTAAACTGAGCTGACATCGTGTCAGGGCACAGACAAAAATGTCCTACAAAAAAGCACCTCATAGTAAGACAGATAATGTAGATAAGCAGTGAGTCTGACTATGAGCTGGGCGATATGGACAAAAATCCATGTCGTAATAAATTGCCTGAATAGATGCGATAACGATAATTATAAACTGGGTGGTTCGAGCCCTGAATGCTGATTGTCTGACAGCTGTGGTATCAGACCGTATACCACGGGTATGACAAAACATACATTTTTACTGCTCTAATTACGTTGGTAACCAGTTTATAATAGCTACTACTAGTTTGATGGTTATAGCCATCAATTGTACCATTAACAATCACCCATATTCGCAAACTTATTTCATTTCAAACTTTCTCTAGTATAGGGTACTTATCGTAATGAACGATATCAGCAAAATGCCTGCGATAAGTGATCCGTATGGTCGGTGTTGATAATTTTCCATTGATCATCCCAGCTCTAGTCTGACTGTCACTCAGTACAAACCACGGTACTAACACAGCCTCAGGCCTTTCTGCTCGGAACCAAAATACTGGGGCTGTGGAAAAACACTTTTATGTCTTCCTTCCATCATGATCACAGAAATTGTTAGAACCTGGAGTTTTTCCTGGTCAGGTATGGTCACATTATCAGGAAAAACTCCTGACCCTAGTCAGCGACCACTTGCACTTTCATTTTAATGTTCATAAAGAAGCTGAGTCAAGGACTGAAATGTATGTAGCGTTACTGTATAATATATAACAAATAACAGTACAATACATATTAATAACAAATAATCGAGTATAGCATGTACATAATTAGAGTTATATAGCATAAAATAGACTATTGACACAGAGCAAAACAAGAATATTAACTTAAACACTGCCCCCCCCCCCATCAAACCAATGGGTCAGGTGGGTGTTACACAATGAGTGGAGCAAAACAGCTTCTGTGCACCATCAGGTGAGTAGTAGAGTATTGGAACTAGTTACCTGCTGGTCGTCAGGTGAGTAGTGGAACTAGTTACCTGCTGGTCGTCAGGTGAGTAGTGGAACTAGTTACCTGCGGGTCGTCAGGTGAGTAGTAGAACTAGTTACCTGCTGGTCGTCAGGTGAGTAGTGGAACTAGTTACCTGCTGGTCGTCAGGTGAGTAGTAGAACTAGTTACCTGCTGGTCATCAGCTGAGTAGTAGAGTAGTATAACTAGTTACTTGCTGGTCGTCAGGTGAGTAGTATAACTAGTTACCTGCTGGTCGTTAGGTGAGTAGTAGAGTATTAGAACTAGTCACCTGCTGGTCGTCAGGTGAGTAGTAGAGTATTAGAACTAGTCACCTGCTGGTCGTCAGGTGAGTAGTAGAACTAGTCACCTGCTGGTCATCAGGTGAGTATTAGAGTATTAGAACTAGTCACCTGCTGGTCGTCAGGTGAGTAGTAGAACTAGTTACCTGCTAGTCGTCAGGTGAGTAGTAGAGTATTATAACTAGTCACCTGCTGGTCGTCAAGTGAGTAGTAGAGTATTAGAACTAGTCACCTGCTGGTCATCAGGTGAGTAGTAGAGTATTAGAACTAGTTACCTGCTGGTCGTCAGCTGAGTAGTAGGGTAGTAGAACTAATTACCTGCTGGTCGTCAGGTGAGTAGTAGAACTAGTTACCTGCTGGTCGTCAGGTGTGTAGTAGAGTATTAGAACTAGTTACCTGCTGGTCGTCAGGTGTGTAGTAGAACTAGTTACCTGCTGTCATCAGGTGAGTAGTAGAGTATTAGAACTAGTTACCTGCTGGTCGTCAGCTGAGTAGTAGGGTAGTAGAACTAATCAACTGCTGGTCGTCAGGTGAGTAGTATAACTAATTACCTGCTGGTCGTCAGGTGAGTAGTAGAGTATTAGAACTAGTCACCTGCTGGTCATCAGGTGAGTAGTAGAGTATTAGAACTAGTTACCTGCTGGTCGTCAGCTGAGTAGTAGGGTAGTAGAACTAATTACCTGCTGGTCGTCAGGTGAGTAGTAGAACTAATTACCTGCTGGTCGTCAGGTGAGTAGTATAACTAGTTACCTGCTGTCATCAGGTGAGTAGTAGAGTATTATAACTAGTTACCTGCTAGTCGTCAGGTGTGTAGTAGAACTAGTTACCTGCTGTCATCAGGTGAGTGGTAGAGTATTAGAACTAGTTACCTGCTAGTCGTCAGGTGTGTAGTAGAACTAGTTATCTGCTGTCATCAGGTGAGTAGTAGAGTATTAGAACTAGTCACCTGCTGGTCGTCAGGTGAGTAGTAGAGTATTAGAACTAGTTACCTGTTGGTCATCAGGTGAGTAGTAGAGTATTAGAACTAGTCACCTGCTGGTCGTCAGGTGAGTAGTAGAACTAGTTACAGTGGGGGAAAAAATTATTTAGTCAGCCACCAATTGTGCAAGTTCTCCCACTTAAAAAGATGAGAGAGGCCTGTCATTTTCATCATAGGTACACGTCAACTATGACAGACAAATTGAGATTTTTTTTTCCAGAAAATCACATTGTAGGATTTTTCATGAATTTATTTGCAAATTATGGTGGAAAATAAGTATTTGGTCACCTACAAACAAGCAAGATTTCTGGCTCTCATAGACCTGTAACTTCTTCTTTAAGAGGCTCCTCTGTCCTCCACTCGTTACCTGTATTAATGGCACCTGTTTGAACTTGTTATCAGTATAAAAGACATCTGTCCACAACCTCAAACAGTCACACTCCAAACTCCACTATGGTCAAGACCAAAGAGCTGTCAAAGGACACCAGAAACAAAATTGTAGACCTGCACCAGGCTGGGAAGACTGAATCTGCAATAGGTAAGCAGCTTGGTTTGAAGAAATCAACTGTGGGAGCAATTATTAGGAAATGGAAGACATACAAGACCACTGATAATCTCCCTCGATCTGGGGCTCCACGCAAGATCTCACCCCGTGGGGTCAAAATGATCACAAGAACGGTGAGCAAAAATCCCAGAACCACACGGGGGGACCTAGTGAATGACCTGCAGAGAGCTGGGACCAAAGTAACAAAGCCTACCATCAGTAACACACTACTCCGCCAGGGACTCAAATCCTGCAGTGCCAGACGTGTCCCCCTGCTTAAGCCAGTACATGTCCAGGCCCGTCTGAAGTTTGCTAGAGTGCATTTGGATGATCCAGAAGAGGATTGGGAGAATGTCATATGGTCAGATGAAACCAAAATATAACTTTTTGGTAAAAACTCAACTCATCGTGTTTGGAGGACAAAGAATGCTGAGTTGCATCCAAAGAACACCATACCTACTGTGAAGCATGGGGGTGGAAACTTCATGCTTTGGGGCTGTTTTTCTGCAAAGGGACCAGGACGACTGATCCGTGTAAAGGAAAGAATGAATGGGGCCATGTATCGTGAGATTTTGAGTGAAAACCTCCTTCCATCAGCAAGGGCATTGAAGATGAAACGTGGCTGGGTCTTTTAGCATGACAATGATCCCAAACACACCTCCCGGGCAACGAAGGAGTGGCTTCGTAAGAAGCATTTCAAGGTCCTGGAGTGGCCTAGCCAGTCTCCAGATCTCAACCCCATAGAAAATCTTTGGAGGGAGTTGAAAGTCCGTGTTGCCCAGCGACAGCCCCAAAACATCACTGCTCTAGAGGAGATCTGCATGGAGGAATGGGCCAAAATACCAGCAACAGTGTGTGAAAACCTTGTGAAGACTTACAGAAAACGTTTGACCTGTGTCATTGCCAACAAGGGGTATATAACAAAGTATTGAGAAACTTTTGTTATTGACCAAATACTTATTTTCCACCATAATTTGCAAATAAATTCATAAAAAATCCTACAATGTGATTTTCTGGATTCTTTTTTCTCAATTTGTCTGTCATAGTTGACGTGTACCTATGATGAAAATTACAGGCCTCTCTCATCTTTTTAAGTGGGAGAACTTGCACAATTGTTGGCTGACTAAATACTTTTTTTCCCCACTGTACCTGCTGGTCGTCAGGTGAGTAGTACAACTAGTTACCTGCTAGTCGTCAGGTGAGTAGTAGAGTATTATAACTAGTCACCTGCTGGTCGTCAAGTGAGTAGTAGAGTATTATAACTAGTCACCTGCTGGTCGTCAGGTGAGTAGTAGAGTATTATAACTAGTCACCTGCTGGTCGTCAAGTGAGTAGTAGAGTATTATAACTAGTCACCTGCTGGTCGTCAGGTGAGTAGTAGAGTATTAGAACTAGTTACCTGCTAGTCGTCAGGTGAGTAGTAGAGTATTAGAACTAGTTACCTGCTGGTCGTCAGCTGAGTAGTAGGGTAGTAGAACTAATTATCTGCTGGTCGTCAGGTGAGTAGTATAACTAGTTACCTGCTGGTCGTCAGGTGAGTAGTACAACTAGTTACCTGCTAGTCGTCAGGTGAGTAGTAGAGTATTAGAACTAGTCACCTGCTGGTCGTCAGGTGAGTAGTAGAGTATTAGAACTAGTCACCTGCTGGTCGTCAGGTGAGTAGTAGAGTATTAGAACTAGTCACCTGCTGGTCGTCAGGTGAGTAGTAGAGTATTATAACTAGTTACCTGCTGGTCGTCAGGTGAGTAGTAGAGTATTAGAACTAGTTACCTGCTGGTCATCAGCTGAGTAGTAGGGTAGTAGAACTAATTACCTGCTAGTCGTCAGGTGAGTAGTATAACTAGTTACCTGCTGGTCGTCAGGTGTGTAGTAGAGTAGTAGAACTAGTTACCTGCTGGTCGTCAGGTGTGTAGTAGAACTAGTCACCTGCTGGTCGTCAGGTGAGTAGTAGAGTATTAGAACTAGTTACCTGCTGGTCCTCAGGTGAGTAGTAGAGTATTAGAACTAGTTACCTGCTGGTCGTTAGGTGAGTAGTAGAGTATTAGAACTAGTTACCTGCTGGTCGTCAGCTGAGTAGTAGGGTAGTATAACTAATTACCTGCTAGTCGTCAGGTGAGTAGTAGACCTAGTTACCTGCTGGTCGTCAGGTGTGTAGTAGAGTAGTAGAACGAGTTACCTGCTGGTCGTCAGGTGTGTAGTAGAGTAGTAGAACTAGTTACCTGCTGGTCATCGGGGGTCCAGATACCACAGGTGATCTGGCTCTCCAGGTTGATCTCTGATGACCAGTGTCTCTGGCCGCTGACCGAGCCCACCAGGACAAAGCCATCACGGTAAGAGATGAGAGCCTGGGTACCGTCATGAGACCAGGTGAAGTCACTCACCTACAGGAGAAGGTTGGGGGGGGGGTTGCAGAGAGGACAGGTCAGATACTGTACTCAATGGAGAATTTCCAATGAACATGCTTTATAGCACAGAGCTGCATCTGAAATAGGACCCTATTCCCTATATCAGTGTTTCCCCAATGGCAGGTAGCCTAGTGGTTAAGAGCGTTGGGCCAGTAACCGAAAGGTCGCAGGTTCAAATCCCCAAGTCGACTAGTTGAAACATCTGTTGATGTGCCCTTGAGCAAGGCACTTAACCCCAATTGCTCCTGTAAGTTGCTCTGGATAAGAGCATCTGCTAAATTACTAAAATATAAGCACACATTTTGTTGTAGGCCCAGACAAGCACACCCGATTCAACTTGTCAACTAATCATCAAGCCCTTAATGAGTAGAATCTGGTGAGCTTGTCCAGGGCTACAACAACAATGTGTTCTGTTGGGGGTACTGGAGGACTGGAGATGGGAAACACTGCCCTATATAGTGCACTACCAATGGCCCGTATTTGAGAATAGGGTACCATTTCAGACCAGGACTAGGCTTATTCTGTGTCCAGGTTACTGGCCCATAGTGTCTCCCACCTGAGCCCCGCGGTCATTAACCAGCTCCACAGACCAGCGGCCCTCGTACTGGATCCACACAAAGATCCCTCCGTCTGTGTCACAGGTGGCCAGCTTCTGAAAGGGCTCGTTCCATCGCACCAGCACCACCTAGACACACACACACACACACACACAACAGGAGAACTCAGAATTAAATGAGCACCATTTCGCCAGTGAGACACATTTAGACACTGGAATAAAATAAATCAGAAAGTGAGTTAGTCTAATTTCACCAGTGACGTAAAACAAGTCCTAATATCCTGAGTGTCTTAGATAATGAGTTTCTATCAATTCCCACTTCCTTTCATCATGCTGAGCCACTCAGAAGCAGAGCAAAGCAGAACAACTTCAGTGTCTGTCTTCCTTCAAACGGTTCAACAAGCTAACTCTCAAGTGCTACTCCATACTCATAACTGAGCACTCTAAGAGAGGTAGACCTTTTGCTCCCCACCTGCCCCCATCCAGAACTTCACTCAATCTGAAGAGAGGGCTGGGGGGGGGGGGGGGGGGGGGTGATGATGATGATGGAGTGGGGCCTGATTAGCTACTTTGGCTGAAGCGCTCACAAAAAGGGGGAAGAGTGTGAGGGAGAGAGAAAGACAGAGAGGAGGGTGAAAAAGAAGAAGGGAGAAAGAGAGAGATGGAGCGAGTATGAGAGCGTTAGTAGACATGAGTAGGAATGGTACAGCTTGATGACCACAGAATCAAAATGGATGCTCCCACTGGCAGCAGTGACTCACAGATATATGGGCTTTTGCACTGACCCAGAGGACACCGAATAGACGGAGCCGTACGGCTGTGTACCTGCGTCACGGCTCTGACCTTTAGGTAGTAACTCACACCTGAGGAGGGGAGGGGGAGTGAACGTGTGACCGATGGTGAGGACAACTAGGTTACTCACTGTCTGCTTTTGTCTTATTCTCATCCCTCTCTCTTTCTCTCCCTCTAGTCGGTTTCTCTTCATCTGCCTCCCCATCACCCACTTTCTGCCATCCTCCTCCTCTCTCTCCATGCTTCTTTCCCTACCTCCCTTTTCACTCCATCCACCTCCCATTCTCACTCCCTCTGTCTGGTCTTGTGTAGCGTGACTGCCTATTCCCAGAGGTATAATCCCAGGCTTGGTACACCTCTCCACAGACCCCAAAGCACGTGGAAAACACACACGCGTACAAACAGGCTTACACTGACTGCACGCCCATCAGATCAGCTCCCCTGTGGGCTGAGACCTAGATTAGCCCGCTAGGCTCTCTCTCGCCATCGCTCTATGCACTCCTATATAGCACAGGAACCACTTTCACTAGAACACACATTGTGTGAGCATAGTACATTTTAGATTTTAGTCATTTAGCAGACGCTCTTATCCAGAGCGACTTACAGTTAGTGAGTGCATACATTTTCATACTGTCCCCCTGTGGGACTCGAACCCACAACCCTGGTGTTGCAAGCGCCATGCTCTACCAACTGCGCTACACGGGGCCCTACAGTCACAGGTCAGAGTTGAAAACATCACCTGTTCTGGGGTTACGACATCGGCTCAGATACAACCGAGAGACAAGATAGGCAGAATTATAAGACAGATCTACACAATGTGCAGATCAAGTCCCTGTCCAAGCAAATGCACTGCACTCAGTTCAAAAGGCTGAAGAAAAAAGCATGTATTCACCAACTATCATCAGCCCTCCCTAACACAGTATTGTTAGTATAGATTTGTCCATACGACAACTCATCATCTCCACCTCCAGCTGTATCCAGCCCTCTTTGCCCTGTCCACAAAAGGTGAGCATCTAAACACCCATCCCTCTCCAGCCTCTCCTCACAGTCTAAAGCCTGAGTAATAAGGTGTCCACTATGCTAGATTTACAGTGCTCTCCCACCCACTCACTCTGGCATAAATCCTCCTGCAGTACTACAGGCCTGTCCCCAGTCCACACCCACAGGGGAGCCACAGCACAATGAGACCAGGCCTGCTGCTCTAGGGTTGGAGATAGAACTGTAGGTCCCTATAATGATAGGTCTCTGTAGGGCAGGCCATTCACACACAGCTGAAAGGGCCCCTATCCATCATCATGCTACGAAGTCACCAGGTGATGTGGGGGCCTCAGAGCAGGCAAAGAAAGCTCATAGGTTTTCACTGTGATGATGACGCTTTGTAGAGGCATGACCAGACTACACAGACAAGGGATGGAAAAATAAATAACAATAACCAGACTGTGTTTTTGAAAACGCAGGTTTGTAAAGGCTAGTCCAACCATTTTATTTTGGGCTATAGCCTGCTGCCACTGCACTGTCTGCAACCTCACTGGAGCGAAATGTATTTGTCGGCCTGCATTATACAATCTGTTACAGCAGTAGTCAGGGGCACAGGCCTGCATTATACAATCTGTTACAGCAGTAGTCAGGGGCACAGGCCTGCATTATACAATCTGTTACAGCAGTAGTCAGGGGCACAGGCCTGCATTATACAATCTGTTACAGCAGTAGTCAGGGGCACAGGCCTGCATTATACAATCTGTTACAGCAGTAGTCAGGAGCACAGGCCTGCATTATACAATCTGTTACAGCAGTAGTCAGGGGCACAGGTCTGCATTATACAATCTGTACCCCTTGATTAGATGGGGAGGAAATACAACATACACACACACTAGGTTAGAGTGTGTGTGTGTGTGTTTTTAGCCCTGTGGGGGGGGATTAATGTGAGCTGGTCAGGCGGCCCAGGGGGGACAGCTGAGTGCCTGGACCACACCGTGACACAGCGATTTAGGGGATCAGACGTCACATGGAGACAGACAGGATCAGACTGGGAAGCTACAAAACGTACAGGGCCCAGGGAAACAGCGCGCTAAAACAGGACAGCCCCAGATACAGGCTAAACCAGCATAGTAGCCTAACCTTAACCTGTCCGGGGCCGAGACAAGGATTCTAATTTAAAGGGCTGGAACGGGGATAGTATACCAACGTACAGCCACATAATGAATATTTCTACTAGGATATATACAGTGAGCTCCAAAAGTATTGGGACAGTGACACATTTTTTGTTGTTTTAGCGCTGTACTCCAGCACTTTGGATTTGAAATTATACAATGACTGATGTTAAGGTGCAGACTGTCGGCTATAAGTTTGAGGGTATTTTCATCCATATCGGGTGCAAGATGGCGCCGGAGGAGATGGCTGCCGTTTTACGGCCCCCTAACCAATTGTGCTATTATGTGTGTTTTTTCGCGTTATTTGTAATTTATTCTGTACATAATGTTTCTGCCACCGTATCTTATGACCAAAAAGAGCTTCTGGATATCAGGACAGCGATTACACACCTTGTATTGGACGAAGATGTTTTATTCACTGAGTCGGACGCAAAGGATATTCTACAGACACCCGATAAGGCCCAAATCCCCGTCATTCGCATGAGAAAGAGATATCGTGGACGTAGGTCGGGGAGCCTTGTAAGGATCCGACGGCGAGCGAGTAATCTGCCTCTTCCATCAGTCCTATTAGCCAACATACAATCATTGGAAAACAAAATGGACGACCTAAGATCAAGGATAACCTACCAACGGGACATTAAAAACTGTAATATCTTATGTTTCACAGAATCGTGGCTGAACGACGACATGGATAATGGCGACATACAGCTCGCGGGATATACGCTACATCGGCAGGATAGAACGGCTGACTCCGGTAAGACAAGGGGTGCCGGTCTGTGTATATTTGTAAACAACAGCTGGTGCACGAAATCTAATACTAAGGAAGTCTCAAGGTTTTGCTCGCCTGAGGTAGAGTATCTCATGATAAGCTGTAGACCACACTATTTACCAAGAGAGTTCTCTTCTATATTTTTTGTAGCTGTCTATTTACCACCACAAACCGATGCTGGCACTAAGATTGCACTCAATGAGCTGTATAAGGCCATAAGCAAACAGGAAAACGCTCATCCAGAGGCAGCGTTCCTAGTGGCCGGGGACTATAATGCAGGAAAACTTAAATCCGTTCTACCTCATTTCTACCAGCATGTTAAATGTGCAACCAGAGGAAAAAAAAAACTCTAGACCACCTTTATGCCACACACATAGACGCGTACAAAGCTCTCCCTCGCCCTCCATTTGGCAAATCTGACCATAATTATATCCTCCTGATTCCTGCTTATAAGCAAAAACTAAAGCAGGAAGCACCAGTGACTCTGTAAATAAGGAAGTGATCAGATGACGCAGATGCTAAGCTACAGGACTGTTTTGCTAGCACAGACTAGAATATGTTCCAGGATTCTTCCAATGGCATTGAGGAGTACACCACATCAGTCACTGGCTTCATCAATAAGTGCATCGATGACGTCGTCCCCACAGTGACCGTACGTACCCCAACCAGAAGCCATGGATTACAGGCAACATCCGCACTAAACTAAAGGGTAAAGCTGCCGCTTTCAAGGAGCGGGACTCTAACCTGGACGCTTATAAGAAATCCCGCCATGCCCTCCGACAAACCATCAAACAGGCAAAGAGTCAATACAGGACTAAGATTGAATCGTACTACACCGGCTCCGACGCTCGTCGGATGTAGCAGGGCTTGCAAACTATTACAGACTACAAAGGGAAGCACAGCCGCGAGCTGCCCAGTGACACAAGCCTACCAGCTAAATTACTTCTATGCTCGCTTCGAGGCAAGCAACACTGAAGCATGCATGAGAGCATCAGCTGTTCCGGATGACTATGTGATCACGCTCTCCGTAGCCGATGTGAGTAAGACTTTTAAGCAGGTCAACATTCACAAGGCCGCAGGGCCAGACGGATTACCAGGACGTGTACTCCGAGCATGGGCTGACCAACTGGCAAGTGTCTTCACTGACATTTTCAACATGTCCCTGACTGAGTCTGTAATACCAACATGTTTCAAGCAGACCACCATAGTCCCTGTGCCCAAGAACACTAAGATAACCTGCCTAAATTACTACTGACCCGTAGCACTCACGTCTGTAGCGCTTTGAAAGGCTGGTCATGGCTCACATCAACACCATTATCCCAGAAATCCTAGACCCACTCCAATTTGCATACCGCCCCAACAGATCTACAGATGGTGCAATCTATATTGCACTCCACACTGCCCTTTCCCACCTGGACAAGAGGAACACCTACGTGAGAATGCTATTCATTGACTACAGCTCAGCGTTCAACACCATAGTGCCCTCAAAGCTCATCACTAAGCTAAGAACCCTGGGACTAAACACCTCCCTCAGCAACTAGATCCTGGACTTCCTGACGGGCTGCCCCCAGGTGGTAAGGGTAGGTAACAACACATTGCCACGCTGATCCTCAGGGGTGCGTGCTCAGTTCCCTCCTACACTCCCTGTTCACCCATGACTGCATTGCCAGGCATGACTCCAACACCATCATTAAGTTTGCCGACGACACAACAGTGGTAGGCATAATCACCGACAACGATGAGACAGTCTATAGGGAGGAGGTCAGAGACCTGGCCGTGTGGTGCCAGGATAACAACCTCTCCCTCAATGTGATCAAGACAAAGGAGATGATTGTGGACTACAACGGAAAAAAAGGACTGAGCACGCCCCCATTCTCATCGACAGGGCTGTAGTGGAACAGGTTGAGAGCTTCAAGTTCCTTGGTGTCCACATCACCAACAAACTATCATCCAGGACCTCTATACCAGGCGGTGTCAGAGGAAGGCCCTAAAAATTGTCAAAGACTCCAGCCACCCTAGTCATAGACTGTTCTCTCTGCTACCGCACAGCAAGCGGTACCGGAGAGCCAAGTCTAGGTCCAAAGGGCTTCTTAACAGCTTCTACCCCACAAGCCATAAGACTCCTGAACAGCTAATCATGGCTACCCAGACTATTTGCACTGATTTGACTTGAACCGTTTCTAAATTACAGCACTTTTTGTACATAGCCCCCCCCCCCCTTTTAAGGGAACAAAAGTAATGGGTCAAGTTCACATATGTGTATTAAAGTAGTCAAAAATGTAGTATAAATATCCTACCCCCCCAAAAATGCTAACCTCCCCTGTTATTGTAATGGTGAGAGGTTAGGATGTCTTGGGGGGTATG